ATTCGTAATTGAATATAAGTGTTATGTTTATCAATCAGCCTTGTGATCCAATTTTGTGCCAAAAACCCGGTTAGCACTTTCCGTCTGACACTGAAAACGTTTCTATTATGTTGTGTATTACTTTTAATCTTACATCGTTTTAGTAGGGAATTGGGTGGATAGCTTTTAAACTGAAACATTTTTGAAATTATGTTCGTTCGGAGTTGAACTGACGGACCGGCGAACAAAAGAAAATATAAAAAAGACATTATTACAGATTTTTGCGTTAGGTATATAGGTATGATATTTCATAACAGTTATCCGTAAGTTATTTGTAAAGAAAGGTAGCATAATAATACCTTTACTGTAGAACGAAAATTAAAAACAATAAGTATACATAAGATCTTAGTTTTTATAATAAACATCTAGATTATAAAACTCATGTGATTTTGTAATTAATTAAATAACAGAATACTAATAACGTAATGACACTGTCACGCTGCGATTACAATGCAATTAGAAAGCTATTGCATAAGTCCCACTCCAAGCAATCAGAAGAAAGCGTACATTGACGTAGGAAAGTTGGATCGAGGGGCGGTATGGTGGGGCTGCGCGCACGCACCATCCAAAGTAGTACACTTTCGGTTTCGACTCGCGGTGAGAGTTACGCGAAAATGAAAGTGGCATGCCATTATAGTCCACTTTCCTCACTGGGGTCAAACTCCTTACGCTGACTAGTATTCTATAAGCCACGGCAATTTAATTGACAATCACTCGGGCGCCGTAATCACACTTCAGTTATGATCATGTTCTCCGAGTAAAAATCGTCGTCTCATTTTTTATCTATGTTAAAACTGAAACTTCTTTGGTAGGAAAGAGTTTTTGGATTAAGACGGAGGTTAGAAGATGAAAAACACGCGTTTGGACGTCGTATTGGTAGGCCAGGCTGCTTTTAGTAAATGGAAATGAACTAATCATGGAGTAGGGGATGCGCGACTACAAGTATATTACCAAACCACTACCACGATAGCCTACTCTATCATTTCTATTAACATTAAATCCAGCGAGTGAAAAATAATGGCAGGACAGGCTTGGATAAATACTTGATATATTATTGACTATAACGGATATACAATAATAACTTTTTATTACATTTGATATTAAATATTAACGATTTTTATTATTTTATTAATATGAGCTGTGTTGGCCAAGTCGCTTCAGCGTGATACTGTCATCCCTGAGGTCTTAGGTTCGAACCCCGGCTGTGCACCAATGGGCTTTCTTACTTTGTGCGCGTTTAACATTCGCTCATGCATCTCGCATGCGGTGAAGGAAAACATCGTGAGGAAACCGGCTGGCTTTAGTCCCAAAAAGTAGACGGCGTGTGTCAGGCACAGAAGGCTGATCACCTACTTGCCTATTAGATTGACAAATGATCATGAAACACATAGAGAAATCTGAGGCCCAGACCTAAAAAGGTTTTAGCGCCACTGATTTATTTATTTATTAAATATTAACACCTAGGTAATTGGTTTTTTATTATGTCGCCTAATTAACAACAAAACTTAAATGTTGTGTCAAAATTATAGTAATTATAGATATAGATAAGGCTGTTAGTGTTGCTATACGCTTCTTAATAATATTTTTCTACAGTTCATAATGCAAATTTATTATTTAGAAAAAAAATTATATGACAAGATTGCCTTGCCACGGCATTGTTTTAGCAGTCTCAGTCTTAAGCGCCGTTGACCTATTAAACCCGTCCGCTTTTGTTTCAATGATGATTGAAGAAAGAAATAAAAATATTCTTATCTTTTAGAAATGCTTCCAGATTCCTGATACAACCATATCTATAACCTGATTTCTAGTATTATTAATTAAGGCGTGGTTTTTCCCTGTACTTGTCGATCGCTGATGTGGTTGTCATACATTTTAGGTATAGAGAGAAAAGCTCTAATCCATTATTACTCTTGTAAATTAACTATATCAAATAATAGAATATTGACAGACATAATTAAATTTTAACACGTTTTAAGTTCTTTCTTTTAAGATCTCGGCTTGATTAACGCATATTCCATATAATGGAGATAATGAGTTTAATTCTCATTTGTAAGTCAGTCGACTGACTTACCTATGACAAAACGCAACTGACATAAAATTATCTTTGATGTTCAGCCCATGCATTATAAAAGGACTATAGGCATTTTTTTATAAATTTAAATACATATATATTTGAAATTAAAATAAATAGTTCTCATAAATCGTTCCAACCATTTGTATATGCATAATCATTTGATCTCGGAGAATGTTAACTTAATTCCAACACTTTATATCCCAGCTCGAATATAGGGCAAACGGGGTGGAGGGTAAAAGGTGAGTGACCTCTGATGACGTCAATGTGACCTGATGCTGGCTCTGGCATAACCCGAACTATGACCGGATACTTTGCATCTATCGGGACTTCTCATAACGGCTATACACAACGTTAAATACTTTTTACATTATTTAATTTTAGTCCAATTCTTTTACTCGAAAAAACGATATATGTATTTTACTGGTCCAAAGTGTACCACAAAATAAAAAACTGTAATTTGTTGTTGTTGCTAAAAGTTGCTAAAAAATATCAACAGAAAGTAGTTCGCTCTATGTTTCGTAGAGTTATCAAATATATTTCTTTGTACTAGCTCGTAATGTAACAATGAAAAATGTATATTAAACCACTTTCATGTAACAAAGGTTGGTTAAATTTTGTATAATATGTATAAATAATTTATATAATTGATATATTATGTGTTACTCGATAGTGAGGAGTTTGCAGGGATCTGATAAGCGCTACGCCTTCTTAAATTCTCATGTTTTCACACGTGTAGGTATATCCATTTTGTAACAAAAATTTTCATAAGTATTTGATTGTCCTCATTTTAAAATGCGTGATGTTTGAGGGCATAAATAATAATAAAAATATGCAGTAACAGGAAAAATTATTGTATACTGTCTTTTGTATTTCTGCTACGTTTCTTTCTACGAAAGACTGCTACGCGTTACGAATTGTTTTAAGCTCTAAATACTCAATAATTTACGTGCAATACCTTTGATTTGGAAAACATACGTAACAATAGTTTAAAGCCGCATGGTTTTATTGAAGTGAAACTTCTTTATCGGGGTTGGAAAAAAATTTAGTGTAACATTTTTGCGTTACGCGTCACATTTTTCCGTTACGCGCCATGTTGCTTTTTGAAGTCAAACTTCTTTATCGGCGTTAAAATATGACATATAGTATTTTTTTTGAAGTTTGACAACGGATTACATTTTCGACTTGAAATTTGCTAATCGCAATTTACAGCAATTAATTTGTAAATTTTATGCTACGCAGTGTATCAAAATTTACTGTGTTTAAAGAAATAGTTTCGGACCTCTAAACTTAAAACAAACCAATTATGGCTCTGCGTACAACAAAGGTTTTATATAAGTTTCACTTCTTACGTGTGTACACCTAGTACACGCACACATTTTTTTTAATTTTATCCAATATTCCTTATAATTATTGGGTTATACATTATTCTCATAATATTCATACATACGAACTTGACGTATAACCCTGATTGGGAGGTCCTGGTTTTGATTGCTAGCGAAACCCTAATTTTTTCCTAAGGCTCAGAAGGCTGACCGATTAGGCACTTAATCATAAATGATCAATGAAGCAGACGCATAAATGGTTCTACCTTATGCCCCATTGGGGCGTAACGTGACTTCAAACAAACCTATATAGAACTCGACACTATTCAGATGTTTCTCTGTTCTTGCTCAGAGAAACTCGTAAGCACCGAGCTCCAACAATGGTTAATTATACAAATTTAATCGATAATTATATTATGTCAATTTCATTTTTAATAAGTCACAGATTAAAGTATAAAATTATATTTAATGTTTAAAATTTGACCTCCATTAAATCTCATGGGCTAAAATAATTACGATGTTTAGCAAACCATGCGTCACTTGAAAACATACTGTTGGTACATTGCATAGAATTATCGACGATAATAAAAATGTCATATTTACGGCTGAACGCGCTCTTAGCGGTAAATTAGTTGCCTTGGCCTATAAACGCCTCTCCGCTTACCAATTCTAGAATTAGGTTTTCAGTTCAATGGGTTGGTGTGGAAGCTTCCGACTAAACATATTTTTGACAGATAAGAGGCTGATTACTTTTGCCGCCATTGATTTACGGTGAAACTGATGCAATTGCTGATTTTGGTTTGATTTTTGATGGAAAACATGTCACCATGTGGACATTACATTTTTTTGCAGCAATACGATCATGATTTTTACTATAATTATTTTAAAGTAATATTTAAGCAAGTTGTTTTTTTAAAAATTATAAGCTACCAACGTTACCTACTATGGTGGCGTTAATTGTCTTTTGAAAGTTTAAAATGAATTTTTGAAGTATTTATAATAATACAATGTCAAACGAAGGTATTATTATGATAGCAATTGATTAAAAAAATATACATATTTATTAAATTTCGCTTTTGTTAATTAAGGTTAATAATATTCGTCACACTTAATTTAAAACGTTTATTTATAAGTGACATTGTTTGTGAATATTTTTTTTACACTTTAAAACTTGTTATGTTAACATCGAAACAAGTCTTAAGTTGTATGTTAACATGGTAGTCATTTGAGGACCAAAAATATATCCAAATTCTAGCATTCATAACCTTATTAGGTATCCAGTATCAAAATCTGTACGTTTCAAAACTGACATCTTTCAATATTGAATCTAGAGGACACAGATACGTGTAAAGTTTTTATGTTTTTATATAATTGGCGGGTAATGAATAATATGTGCTATTAATATAGTATTGTTCAATCTAAACAGTAAAACACGATAACAATGAAGTAAATGAAAAACCAAACGTAACGCGGCGGGTTTAAAAAATACTAAGGGTAGACGAATGATAGTAAGGGGAGATCGTAGGGGTGGGCGGACTTGTAGACGTGCTACGAACGCCCCTGTATCAAGCCACGGCGTTTGGCGTAGCGAAACTCGCGCCATTCGCGCTGACGCCGCCGCCGGCCACACGCGCCCCTGTTGTACTGGCCCATGCGGCTCCCGGTAGATATGACTGTGACCGAGTGCCGACAGCACCTGGAATCCGCGCCGGCACCCACTGACAATGATGTTCTACTCGGCAGAGTACTAGCAGGTGAGCAATCAGCTGTTCTCATATCGCCACCATCACAATGATAACGGATACTAAGTTACTACTAACACATACTTGAATGTTTTTCAGAGATTGATTAGTACTTAGGGATGTTCTTTTCACTTTCATGTACGACGTAAGGTACTGAGGGGGGAGGGGGATCGAGGGCTGCGAAATTGGGTCAAGCAGAGTTCGTTGCCCTCGGCCTTCCTAGCTATATTGGACGCTAATCATATAATAATCATAGCCTGTCTCTTTCTTGGATTAATTCAACTTCATTTGATATAAAAACATAAATCAAACTATTATACCAACATAACATCTGATGAATTCCTTTCGATTGTTTAATTAACTAAAAGGAATTCATCAATTGTTTCTAATTTCAACATAGTTTTCAAAAAACAAACTGAAAATGTAAACTTATTTCTAGTGAGACGGCAAGTTTATTTATCCGTTTTTTTTTCGTTTAGTAATCAAACCTCTCACGTTGCATAAGTCACCAAAAGATCGAGAAGGTATCTACCGTCGTTATTAAACCGCCAAACGACTAGCATTTCGCAAGTGAAGCCCATCGCACTGAATGCCATTTTATTTTGGAGGCCGCGCGCACGCCGAGGGCCCGCGGTCAACGGCCCCGTACGATATCTAGGTCGCCTCAGAATAACCTAGCACCGATACTCTAATAATAATCTCGACAGCGACTTAGGACATATAGTCGTCCCAGTCTCTCGTGCCAAAACTCCATATACAAATAGCGACAACGAATATTTTGCAATCGCTACTCTATATTCTTTGCTGGTAGTCGGCTTCACTGTCTCTTTCTCTCAAACGTCACTTGACTGGATGATGAATACAAATTCTAGACTATTTTTTTTGAAGATTTTACTTTTAAAACATTTGCACATTTTTATTTCATTTAAATTAATATACCACACATAATCATTAACTGACTTAACATAAATTAAAAATATGTATAGATATTTAATACAAAATAATATCTATAAATTTAGCCAATTTACTTGATATTAAGAGAAAATAAGTAAAGAAATAATTTTTTAGTAAAAAAATAAAAAAAGAAGTTCAAGTTATCTGACAAGGATTAAGCAAACAATGCGATAAGTATTAAGCACTAAGCTCTGATATCGGTATGACGTATTCGCGCGCAAAGCTAGGTGAGCGCGCGGGATGCGGGACGCGGGGTGCGCTCTCTCGGTATTGCGATCAAGGCCTCGAGTTCGTTCACCCGCCAGCAATTAGGTCACGCTCGCCGCTCTACCCCGCTCCACGCAAATAACTGTTTAAAGTCATTCTAAATCCGTCCCCGTTTTGTCATAATATTGTCACTTGGATATGTTAACTCTGCAAATACAGATAATATTTGCACGATTAATCCCATCATTATTTTGAGACAAAAGAACAAAGATGTCAAGCAAAGATGGTACTGTTTTTACAGTTGTTATATAAGTAAAAAAAATCTGGACCGATTTGAAATTTTTTTTTCACTTTTTAGTTTTTCACATAGGCTATATATATATTTCCAAAATAATTTGAATAATAAATATCCAGCTGTGTGAAACCGTGCCTTACCGCTAATACTAACCGCTAGTACTAAATAAAAATACGTTTAATGTTTAAATTACTAAGAATAATAATTCCGTATAAAAAGTTTGTCAGTGAAAGTTTTCTAGGAAGAGTAACCGTGATGTAATTCTCGTAATCCGGGGAGAACCGGGCTAAGAGGGAATTATGTTCAAATGAAAGGGTTGCGGAGTGAGGGGAAACGGGTTGAGCGAGGCTACAGGTCGACGCCCGCGCCGCCCTGACCCCAATTTGATCTGCGTTCGCGTCATGCAGCTCGGCTGCGGACCTCGTCCAGGCAAAATGAGCGGAAAATACCCAATACATGAATGATACAAACATATTCCTTAAATTGAAATGGCGGAAATCATAGTTATTGACAATTATTATAAGTAATACACAGATAATAAGCGTAGAAAAAAGCCACTTCCATACCTACCGGTGATTTTGGTCTTCTGTGGTTAGCTTTTGGCCCTAAAGATACAAAGTCGAGACATAATAAAATTCTAAATCTAAATTTCTATAAATTATTCGTGTAATACTTTTCTCAAACCGGCATTGTTCTAGCATGTCCTAGTCTATATTATTCTATGTTCTTTTTTATATGGATTTGGAGTGAGCACATAAAACGTTACTTACTTTCCAAATGAAATAGGCAAAAAATAGGACGAACCATTACGTGATCCGTGTATGACGACGCAATTGTTGTGCTTACGTTATGTAGAAGTTGATGATTAAGTCTTCTTGAGTCAGCGCTGGCCTAGTTGTGGTGTCGTGTTGATTGTAAGTGGGAATCTACGTGTTCTAAATACGCTCAAAGTAGGCAAGGGAGCGGGTCATTGACCTTACACCCTCACAATGCATTTACCATGCATCAAATCACGATTTTATACGTGATATATGATCTATATTCATTCTCTATTTTATATTTTATTCTAATCAAATTATTATATAAATTTTGGTTATATATAAATCTATTTTTTTTTATCTTTTTTAAATGCTAGCCTAATAATAAAAAATAACTTCTACATTACAAATACTTTAGTGCACTAAAATAATACTTGTACAAATAATTATTTTGTAAAGAAACCGCTAATTCTTAACCACGCCATCTAGCGTCGAGTAGGATAAAGGATGATGATATGAGAGATGGCGCCACTCGTCAGTCTTTGTGTAAAATGGTGCTATAAAGATGGCTAGAAAAGAATTCCAAGCATTAATTTTTTTATTCTAAATATGACGAATTTAGAAATGATTAAAAGACTATTAATTTTAAAGGGAAATGTTAAGAGATATTTATAAATACATTCTTATATTAATGAGTACTATATGTATATACTGTCAATATTAATGCCATATATTTATTCCTTTAATAATAATGATTTAATAAATAATAAAATTAAGTTGTATATCTATGTTTATTTACTTCGTCAAACTTTTATTAAAAACCATATAAATAAATAAAAAAATATATATATTTCTAAATAGCAGAGCTGAATACTATAAATAGCATGTTAGCTCGTGCAGCTGGGTAGGGGTGGGTGAAGCGGCCGTGAACTGAGCTGACCCCTGCCCCTTACTATACCTTCGCCTCACTCCATCCGCCCGTTTCACCTCGTGAACTTTGATTTTTAGCATTTTATCACTTGATCGTTTAATCGTGCTCTCCTTTGATACATATTTTACGAGTATCGTTATGGTTTTTTAATAGGGAATAGCGCACAATTTTAAGCATTCATTAAGTGTCGCGGCTCTTCGTTCAATTCGAAAGGAGAATAATATTTCATATTTATTTATAAAAATAAACATTTAATATTAACTGAATTAAATTCAAAAAGAAACTAAATTTTACCTTCTAATTAAATAAACTGTTAAATTAATAAATTATAGAATATATCATAGACTTATTTATGTAAATAAGTTAGTCATGACAATAACATTACAAGTAAAGCGTAAAAATGCAAGGTGCGATTAAAAATAAAATACCTTAAAAGGCGGAAGACGAAGCGGTGATCTCGAAAGCATATAGCCTGCCCCCCACGAATTAAATAGTAATTATAAACTTGAAGCTAAATATAAAACCTGGTAGTGATGGGGTAAGTTTGGCTGGACTCGACCACAGCGCATGCGTCCTAATCGCCCACGCGTTCTACGTTTAGCTTTCGCGCCAAACTGTCCTCAACCGCGCGCTAGTTATAACCTAAACCTGCCAATCCTCGTTATGGAATTGGAAAACAACGATAATATGCTACCACCTGACAGGATTGCAGGTAAGGTTATTTTGTTTACTCACGTGTTCGATATGTTCTGGAAAGTTACGGTCGTTGAACTTTGGCCTTCTGACTTAATGTAATACATGATAACGAATGTGTCGTCTGCTTATATCAGACTTATTCATTAGCTATGCCAGTACCTACTATGGAGTAACTGGTTGGAATAATGTTTATATAGTTTTTATATGACATTTGTGTCTGTGGTTTTTTACTTGACGAGATTGTAACTTAAATAAATAATAAATTATTCCTTTATAAATATAATCTTAACCCAAGCTATACATAATAATAATTAAATAGAAATAAATAAGACACTAAAATAAATTTATAAAGATCCCTGTGGTAGTGTAGAAAAATATTTTAATAAATCATTTCCTTGTTGGATTGCGATACTGATACATTGAGCGTGGAAAGCACTGGCTCTGAGGTCACCGGTACTGTCTACCAGATCCCAACTTTAATCTTTAATTATCAGATATATGGACTCATTAAAATTTAATAATATTATGACTTAAAAGTCACTAGACCGACTAGAGAATAAATTAACTAGACTTAGAGGTTTAGTTAATTTATTTGGAGTGTAGAACTGAAACTGGAATGAATGATGTTGGTTTGATAACTTTATATTGCGTTTTACACCTGCAGTGTATGGTATGGGTATAGGGCTGAGGTAGAGCTTCCTGTGTCGTAGATATAAAAAAATTGCAAAGCTACTGATATGGCATGACACCGGAACCTGTTACCTCAGCGGGCTGCGGTCAGCGCCTCACTGCACTATGCATTACTGCATAATACCACCGGTCACTGTATCCGTTCCACTTTCGACTACCAAGCTCCATGATGTATAGCTCATGAATAATTTCAAACCGACCTATATCATTTCTCTTTTACATTTCTTGGTTCGACTTTCAATGAAAATTACAGTGAAAATGAAAAGCTTTACGATAGCAATACGTCGGTGAAGTGTGTTCGGTTGTCATAACAGAATTCGTCTGATGTATTGTCACTCTCATATCAACAACAGGTATACAGAACGGAAGCAATCTTTTAAGTGCAATCTTAAATGTAAGGAACGCGACGGTTTCAATCTTTCTCAGCTCGAGGGCTCTTTTCAAGAAATTGTAAAGCGAGACTTGACGTCGCCCTACAACTGCAGTGAAAAAAATAGGTGTGTGACTGAGTGTGCGTCTAGTACGCGACTATGTATTTAGAGTGCATCGCTCCCGGGCGCCGTGTCGTCGCACTGCATATAGGCCAGTGCACGCCAGTACCCGGCCCCCCTTCGCGCCTCACCCCTCATCCCGATGCACCTCGCGATTTTCCATTTCCATCGTCCCCTTGTTAATTTTAGCTGCTTTGACGCGATATGTCGTAACGAGAACATTCCACAACCACCCCCAATGTGTTATGACTATTTGGCAATCATAAATAATACGGTACGATGTCCATTATTACTAATATCTTATATGAGGTTTCAATATAGTTTGGTGAAATAGAAATCTATATGAACTTAACATTAAATACCAGAACTTTTCAATTAAAAGTTTATAGTCTAAATTTATAATTGTAAAACAATTATAATTTTCCTTAACTTAATATTTGAAAATTGACACTTATGTAAGTCGCCTAGGGTGCGCGCATGTGTAATAGTTTCAAGTTCCCGCGGTCGTTGGCCGCAATGCGTGCACGTCTCCCCTATTCCTATGAGCTAGTGTGGTATGACATTTCTATGGGTCACTCATGTCTCCGAACTTTGTACGAAAGTGTCTTCATATAGAATAGGCCATTAGATTTTTGAATATCAACAATTAGGCTGACTAAAAATATTGATACTTCGAATGCGTGGACGCGGAAATGAATGTTCCGTTATATAACTGTATAGGTCTAGTCTAGAACAATCCTGTGTGGATTGCCGATTGGATCGGGCAACACGTCCTGAATTGATGAGCATCCTGGCAATATAGCGTTGCAAGTATCCATGCCAGGGTATACTGATCAAATAACTTTAATAGAATACAATAAATCTGTGCGTTAACTTATAAATTTATTAAGAGTATTAATGTCAGTGCGAATGAATGGAAGTTTGTAGCTGTGTATCTACAGTACAACGCACGTAAACAATATGATGCATTGATAATGACGTCTTAAGCTTTGTAGCATATTTTAATACAATACGTTATAGTGCCGTGATTTGTGTGCATCATATTATAGTTTATATGCAGTCAGCCTAGAGCCATAAAGGCAATGCCCTTACCGATTTCATTAATACATTATTTCCTAAGGGCATAATAGAAACAACAAAGGTATTGTTGTATAAATTTTGAAGTTTTGAATACTCATACGTACTAAGAAGAGTCTGAGTTGCATTAAATGACCATAATATGTAAATTTTAATTAGGTAGTTACGGATATGACTGACTCATTTGCTGCGATTTCACACTAAAGTGCACTGACCCCTGAACACTTATTTGTATTACTCAGATTCTTCGGTTTCTATTCTTAAACATATAATGATAATATACATAATATGTTTATCCTCACCGTTCATAATCGTTACCCATTAGATCCAATTACCACTCTAGGATTCAGCTAAGATGTCACTCCTTTGTTTAAAGATATAACCATTATCAGTGGCATACATAACGTACAAGATAATAAACACGTGATAAGCTGAACAAAACATCGTTTCGGTACATTGACCCAGAATTATATAAAAATGGTTTTAGATTTGATAACGCAGTGACAATGACATTTATTTTCCGTCAGGATATTGCAAGGTTAAATGTATTTAAATTATATTAATTACACGCTACAATATTTTTTTAAATAAAGTAATTTTTGGCGAAATTTTCATCCATTTAAAGCTCTTAAGTCTTAACTAATTTGGGCGAAATTATTGCATTGTAATAAAGCATTTGGACTTGCACATATATTATATTTAGTTTATTACAATACAAAAATACTCAATTGGCTAAGTGAGCAACAGCGCACCAATATCGTTCCTAAGTTAGACAAGAGGAAATGAATATATAATCAGGATTCATTTTCTTTTTATTGTACTGTATTTCTGTATTACTGCAACGAAGTGTAAATAAATAAATAGATTTTGATTTTAATCATTCTTCCGTTTTCAACACACAACGTTTCAAAAACGAAATTAGTAAATTTTATGTGTCGTGTGTTCCTAACCAATATTGTTTTCCTTATACGAAAGAGGCACTTAATAGTTCAAGCTCGTGGATGACTGAAAACTCGAAACGGTGCAGACGGTGCACTGTGTACACGGCTTTCACGCAGTTACGTAACGTCGCGGAGAGATGTACTAGAATGTTCGAAGTCATCGACCACGGCCGCTTACGAAACTCTCTTGAATATTTCGAGAAGAATGAATTATCTGATAGCCCGCGAAAGTAACGAATTGTTTGTAAATGAATACAATAAACTTTTGGTTGAAAAGTAAAGCATCTTATAAGTACATCGACGTTGACGATATGAAAATAAAACACCTATTAATTCTGGGTCAAGTTACCATTTTCCTATACACCTATAGTTGTGTCAATGTGTATAATTGAATGAACTAGCTAAAGTTTGCGATAATTTTTCACGATAAACGTTATGCCCTATGGCACTGTATATGTACTCGTAGTCTCATAACCCCCAAATAGGAAATTGGTACATTTCTAAATTTTTTCTTTAGGCAAATAGGTTACCTAATGCACCTCATACCCATGCTGGTGTTCTTACGATGTTCTTCTTAACTATACGAGCAAGTGAAAACATAGCACATAGCATAATAAACTATGATCAGAACTGTTTGGATAAGAACTCAAAAAACTCAAAATATCTTTATTCATGTAGGTAAACAAGTACACTTATGAATTGTCAGAAATAAGTTAAATTAATTGTAAATTTACATTTACTACCAGTTCGCAAGTCAAGGGCGTAGAGAGGGTAAGAAGAACTGGCAAGAAACTTTCCGCCACTCTTTTTAATCGCCAAGTATTGTCATACAAATTGTATTAACTGGAGCAAATCAATCCCAAGGATTAGGATCATTTAAGTATTCCTCAAATTTATAAAAAGCTTTATTGATTAATTTTCGTTTAACGAGGGCTTTGAATTTATTTAGTGATAATTCTCTAATTTCGCTTGGGAGTTTGTTGTAAAAACGAATACAAGGAATATAAGGATTGGAATAAGGATAAATCGCCCTAACAAATCCTATTTATTGGCATGATCACTCAATGGTTATTTAAAGGATCTGCGTAATATATTCTCTGTATCACTGATGAAACGTGGCAAAGATCGTATCCTTATGAGTGGCATCTGCGAATGGCCTGCTCACTGTTAGGTCGACGTTCGCTGGTTGAGGTCATCGTCGCGGTAAAAGCAAGCGCCAGCCAACAACAGACGATATAATTATATATAATTTAATTTAAAGTCTAAAACTTTAATAAAATTCAAAAGAAATCGTCTGATAAGCTAACATCACAACGTAAAGTCTTAAATTAATAAAAACACAGTTTTTGTGGAAAACATTTACTTTTGTCGAAGTTACATTTAAAAAAAGACTTGATATCTGAAGGTGATGTTACTGTTATAAGTAGTTGGAGATTTAAATAACATCAGCAATTCAATAACAAAAATATGAGAATAAAGTTATTACTTATTCCAGGTTAATGTCAAAAATATTAGTAATATGTACATGAATAATTTATTGATTTTGTCAGTTTACTTTCTTTGATAACTGATTTAGGTCAGTAGAAGAATAAATATTAGTTTTCGTTGCCCTTACGAACCTATCACTTATTGTGACAGCAATAGAAGATTGTTAATTATATTTGTTAATAGTTACTTTGTTTCTATACCTAAGTCTCAGTTTAAGTATTGATCGATAAGTGATTACGGATTCACCGACAAAAATATTTTGTCATTTGGACTACCCGTATAATTTTTTTTAATACCGCGACATTGTACATATTTAAATAGGTAAGGCGAATCTGATACATTACCACCACACAAGCAAAAGTTGCTATCGTTAAAGGAGAGGCACATGCAAGAAAACTTTTACGTAACTCTAATAAAGGTAGAAAAAGAAGGAAGGGAAACATTATAAGACATTAATAATCTACAGTGGATCCTTTGGCTAGGTATTTTCTAGTGCTTACGCGTTCAGAATCGTCAACATGAGAAGTGAAGGGGCGTAGATACATCAGCGTGACACACAGGCAATAATAATTATAAATACGGAGGCGTCATTGAACTCGTGATATTGCGAAACAACGGAAACCAGTCCAGTCCCCCCTCCTGATTGCCTTCCCCCCTCGTTTGCTAAACTGCGTCCCGCGCATTCAGTACCTGTTGCGAATATTTAAAATCCTAGATTAAGTTGACATGCGGTCATTTTGAACGTGACCAGAGTTTTAACGATAAATGCATTACATCACTAACTATAGTCAGCATACAACTTTTGAAGCAACGCATTTTTTAATATAATCTTCATCCATACTGAATATATTCAAATACACAATATATAAGTATAAAACTAAAGATTGCGTTTTGGTCACATCCCGTTAGCAACACTGAGCTATTATTTAATTGTTGTCAATTTATTGTCTTTAAAGTTATGGAATATATTCAAATAACTATTATATTATGTAAATAGGCAATTTTAAAATATCAATGCAATACGTTACAATAGGCCCTAGAAAAAAAAATCCTATTTGTTTTCTACACTTCTCAAGCAACTCTCACACAACTCAACACTGAATAAAAACATTCAACATTTAACAATCGTCAGATGCATTTTTTGTACCGTCCTATCATTCCTAAGATAGTTCACGTCACATCGATAATAACTCGTATTATGCTATCCTTACAACATTAGTCGACCTAAAAAGTGACGTGGCCGATAGTCAGGGACATCGGCCGAGCCTCATTCGCAGGAATTGCAGGTAGGCTAAGGGGTTAAAGAACTTTAGTGCACTATATCAAATACCATTGAACCCGTCCCGCGCACTGCACCCCGATGCGTTCTACGTACGCTTCGAATCCTGTGCGATTACGCGTTACGCATGCGTATGACATTACAATGCGATACATTTGCGGCACTTTAAATGTTTACGGATTCATTTTTTTTGGATAGACATTTGTTTTTCGAGAAATGCACTAACGAGGTCATAAATTAATGGAAACCATAACTAGACTTGTCTTGTATTCGGCATTTCTACATTAAGAATTTTAGCTATATGGGGAATTGATAAGGTTCTTTGAGACCCTTATTCAAAACTTTGTCTTTCGTTTTCTAATCGGAGTCAATATTTTAAAAACTGTGGAGCTAACGAGTTTTCTTATGTAATATCGAGAGCTAGGTAGCAGCAGCCATGTGTCAATAATCAAGTTTAACTGGTGGAAAGTTCAAAGAGGGCATCGACATCGCGCCTGCTATTAGCGGCGACTCTTTAGCGTTCACTCGCTAGAAAATCGCTAATTTGCACTACACTTGATACCATACTCCCGTGTCACTCCCCTACCAGGAAGACTCCAGTATAAAGTTTCATAGATGCGCCGCGATTATCATATTTCTGCCATACGGAGAGCAGTGAAAACTTTTTGCATCGTCAAAGTTATCGCAAATCCGCTTAGAAATTTATTGATCCATACAATGATTTCATATCAATACTTTTACATTGATAAAACCAAGGTAACGAGATAAAATGTTAATGAACCTCATGATGAAGTTTGGAGTCACGTATAGGTACCGCATATCAATCTAATGAGTAGGTATTTCTATGAAATAGAATTTCTTCCAAATAATAATATACTTACGTAAATCTTATACCACTAAAATAAATAAGTATATGAAAAAAGGAAAGGATTCATTTAGAACTTTATGAAAATATGCAAGAACGAAATGCGCAACCGAAAAATAAATATTTTTTACAGCTGTAATAAAATTACACGGCATTGAATAAGCGGTGCACAAATATCTAGTCCATCGAGCGGCCTGCTGACCGCTGCTGGAACATTTATCCAAATCGCACGCCCGCGATTCCCACAGACCTCAAACGGCTATTGAGAAGCTGCTCAAGAAATCGCAACCAGTTTTAACCGGTTATATATTATGAAGCACTCTTTAAAGGGATAAGGCTCTCTTATGCGACTGAAAGATCTGTAGATCTATTTTGGGAATATATTATAATTTATAAATATGACCTCACATTCACAAGCCGTATTGAACGTAGGTGATACCTGTTTTCGATTCAAGGATATGGGTATAAGCCGTCGCCTATTATAATTTCAGTAGTAAACATGCAACATTCGCTTGTATTTTTCTCGGTTGAAGAAAATAAAATCCTTCCATAATACTACTACATTTAAAAAAGTTGTGGTGTCTATAAAAATATTATGGAGGACCTAGTCACCAGTGTAATTCTTTAAAACTATTTAAATAGATCCAACGAACTTAAAACTACAAAGACAAAACTAGATACAAGACATATTATATTAGCACGTAGAGCAGCTATCGTCACTTGTTTGCCGCGTTATGTGCAGACCTTGAGATTTGGCTCCGGTCACTGGCCTGAACGACGCGCACGAATATTATAAAATTATTATGATCGAACGAATAGGTACGTTAACGCTATTGATAAAGTGCTTTGTAGAACATCGGTTATTCCATTACAATAAAAGTTAAAGATTTTCTTTGGAAGAAGATTAAAATAATAAAATTCCATTGCTGTGTACTTAACACAGGCCAAAGTGGCAAAATTATATCTACGTACGGCCTACATAATAATCAGATGCAAGTAGTAGAGTATAGTTTTTTTATAATAATTTATTCTCAAATTATTATCGATAAATTTTATTTTTCATCATTGCTGTTCAACCATATAAATGATATTTTAAATAAAATGCTTAATTTTAAAAAAAATATCTTGTTTCACTTTAAAAAAAATGTTTCCTCTTCGAAAACCAAATTTATATGAAGTAGATTTTCTACGTACTATTACGGTAATTTCGTTACATATTATATTTCTTGTTTTTCACCAAATTACTTATGCTCAACTTCAGTTGTTTGCTGGTACTTTCTGAATTCTGCAAGTGTGTGCGTTACTTAATAAACGTACCAACGAATTTCGCATCTGTGTTGGTGCTGGCGATTGGCAATTTTGGTAGCGATTTCAAGGACAACCGGATCAGTTTCAGTCGACAGTCAGTCACCTTCGGCTGTGAATGACACCATTTCGAGCGTTGACCCTCACCATTTCCTGTGAGGGAAAATAAAACAGTCTTTATTAAAAGCATGCACAGCAGCATGTTATTTAATAGTACGCTAACATAACATAATAGTTAGTGTACCTAATTACTCTAGTATCGGTGTCAAAAACCGGCTTCTGACTGATATGCCTAACTTAATAGTGTTATCTAATTGTGATGCTTTATATATAAACAATTTCTTTTCTTTTGTTTCAGGTGAGTGTTTTCGGTGAATAGGGTTTTTGGTAAGTTTTTAATTCCCGAGCAGAATGCAGAAGTTATGATTGCAGTAATGCGTTCTCGTTAGAGCACAATGCACCAGGCAGCAGTGGTGAAGTCAGTCACCCCGTCCTAACGGGGCTCGCCCTTACTCGCTTGCAACTCGCGAACTGCACTGCCGTCATCGCGTCGCAATTGTCGTGCAAACGCTTACTAATGCTTTTCCAACTGTATTCTGAACGCGAACATGGACTTAGCAAAAAACCCCTCAGAACCAAACTCAAGAACAAAATAGAAATTGACCCAAAGTTATTTCTACGAAACGGGCACATTACGATAATGAGGTCCGAACACAGGCACCCCGCTGTCGTATAGTAATAGTAACAAATAAATGGACCGCAAATTGTCATGGCTATTTGACATTGTTCATGTTGTGATTGTTCACCAAAATGTCGTTAAAACTTTGCCACATGTAAAATCCTACCTATTCAGTTCAGTCAACGTCTTTTTAAACTTTAGGGAAACACAAAAATAACTAACGAAATTAATAATACATTTCTGTGCTTAAAGAAAGTGATATAAAAGCGCCAAATGCAATATATTACTATAATAGATTATTTTATTAATTTAGCTTTATATTTTGTCACATTAATAAAGTAAAAATACAATTTTGTGAAAATATTGCTAGATATCCCGCTGATATTTTTATCATTAAGCTGTCCATATTCAAGATCGTCCCTTGATCGAGATATCGTTTAACTCAAAATACAATACATCATGTATCTGGGAATGTCGGTTACGAATTCGCACGACAAAAGGAAGTTAAAAAAATAATCTTTCAAAATTTCATCCCTTTTTTGCTCCAAAAAGATTTCGATTAAACAATAATTTGGTTTTTTACAATTTCTGGAAGAGTTGAATATCGCAAAACTCGCACAAAGATACACATACAAACAAAAAATACGTTACCTGTTCTTGAAATCGGAGAAGAATAAAGGGGTACGTCGATTCGCGTTGTGATTTTTTATTCGCGTTACCTGATTTTTTTGGTAAAAGGTTAAAATAGAAATCCTTAAAAATCGAAACTGAATGGGAGCTCAGCTAAGGGTTAACGCAGTTGATTTCTTTTGCTTTGTTATCTTGGCAGATGGCATCAAATGGGTTCTTGCTCTCTGCTCTCAGGATAATATGTGGGTCACGATTGTGACCAGTGAATTTTTTATTAAATAAGGGCTATACATTATACGTTTATTAATTTTATTAAATTTTCATAACCAGGCTATTGCTAGGTTCCACGATGAGCTTATTTCTTAGATTGTGTCTAGTTGGCAAAGTTAGGTTCTGCAATGGTACGACCATTGTAGACACCGTTACACGCACTGAGTTGACTGCACGCTCTTCGGTCGCCGACACCACACTTATTGTACAATGTACATGTCTCCAACTTTAAATAATTATAAATATTAACTGTGAAATGAGTTGAAATCTTTATAACTCATACATAAATGTCAATTCATGTTATCACGGTTTACGTATACCGTGAAAATAGTTGGAATTAAAAAAATCTATTTAAATTGATCTTTTTGTTAGCTTAGGTTCGGCTTACATTCTTTATTTAATTATCGTTTACATTCGAGGCCTGAAACGGCAAGAATAATTTAGTACATATTGCATTCAATATTCATTTTAATTATCATAATATTTTAAGTATGATCACACAAAATACTTTCCGTTTCCTACCCATTTAATAGACACATTGATATTTTGAAATAGGTTACGCCTCTTAAAGGGTTAGAAATGAAATTGCACCTTTTATTCACAGATGCACGAAACATATGCTTTTGGCACACGAAAGGCACGCGAACATTTTCACTATTGCAATTACTAAAAAAATCTACCACAAAAGACTCAAAAATTATAATGACGATACCTTACAACTTTTTACTAATAAGATGGTGCCGTCTGGTAGCGCGTTTCACTTTGGTTTCTCTGTCAGCTGGCCAAGAAGGAAGTGAAAACATTCAAAAGAAACTTTTATTAATATAATTATATGGTGCATGATTTACCTCGTGCATAAGTTATGGGATACAAAATGCAAGTTTTGCAGGAATGGCAGTAATGTATATTTTGTTTATACACAATACCTAAGCTACGCTAGTATTTATTCAAGTAAATATTAATCAGAAACTCTAATACTATATATATAGTACCTATATTCATTCATATAGAAAGCAATTATAGATTTCTAGTTATGTTCCATGTTTAGTTATTGCATAACATAAAATAGATAAATAAACAAATCGATATTTAAACCGGTTATTACATAGGTATTTTATACTTGTTTTAAGATGAAAGTTATTACTTTCTCCTTTCTCCAGCAGTCGTCTTATAAAGTTTGGTCATATAATTAATATAAAGGAAAGAAATTTCAAAACAGAAAAGTAATAAAATACACTGAAATTATCACTTTTGCCGTCTGCTTTTGTTATTTTAAAATACATTTTGCAGTTTTTCTGTTTCATTTATTTTTTAAATCGGCAAGCGGCTCTTTGTCTAATGAAATATGGAAGGTGGTTTTTAAAACCGATGATTTAAATAAAGTCAAGGATCATTTGCGTCGCAAACAACCGTGGGGTCAGTAGACTCGAGCGCGCAACCGCCGAAATTATCGCGGCATTACACGCGCCGCGCGGCCAACGAACGCACCAAGGCCATGGTGTACCTAAACCTCCTCCACTCCACTCACCTCCCCCGAAACTCCAATTTAACCTCTAATAACCTTACAGGCTTTATCTCAATGTCATCTTCATGCACGGAAAATTTGTAAACTGTTTTCAAATTTGCACTTAAAATTAGGCATTGTTTTGGCATTTTGAAATCGGCTATTGAATAAATAATTGTTAAGTCATATCTATAATTTTCCTTTGCAATAGATCTAGTTCAGTTAGCAAATAACACAGTAGCCAACTTTCGTGGGGACGGGCGGATGCGTAATTAATGTAGGCCCTAGATCGATATTGGCAATTGAGGCTGGGTGTAGATAGAGCTTATCAGCGTAGGCGCGAGGTGAGAGCGCGAAAGGTGGATGGCGGGTGCGGAAGCGTTGGCGGGGTACAGAGGGGCACGGTGGTGCGGGACGGCAGGTGGTGGCGTCAACGCGCGGCCGTGAACTTTCTTCGGACACGTTTTCAGGAACAATTGCTGCGCAATATCTGCCTCGACCTAGCAGAGCCCCTTTACCTACTATTCGAGATTACTTGACGATTATTCAATTTAATGGACGTCAAACTTAATCAAACGTCGGCGAGTCGAAATTTGAATGCGTAATTTTATTGCTATCAAACAGAGTCATCACACCTTTTGAATTATTAATTATTGTAATTTGCAGACGTAGAATTTGCCAGCAAAATGGACTATTGGGAAGCTTATTTAGAATGTATTTAGTTCGAGTTCAAGTGTATGTATTCGCGAGTAAAATTGACGCAGTATCTGTTAAAAAATCAGGACAAGCCTGTATAAATCGCACCAAATTTCAATCTATAACAATGGGCCAAATTGAAAATAGAACGTTTCGAATAAAAATTCGGCGCAGTTCCATATTCGATGAACTTGAAAGTTGTTTTGATCATTACAGTTTCAATGAAAAATCAATGATTCCCTTGCTGTCAATAAATAAAAACGGTACAGAAAAGTTGTTGAACAATCACTTGTTATCTATAGTAATGAGGGCGAGTAAATGTAACAGTAGGAAACGAACACACTTCCTCATTCTTGTCCCTGTTGTGTATTTGTGTGTAATGCAACGTAACGCGCACACAACTCTGGCCCATTATACAACCCAGTGCATCAACTGTGCGCTCGCTGCGCTCTGATTACTCGTAACAACACATAACATTTCTCCTTAGTTGCACCAATTAATCGACGAATTACATATTAAAGTGTTATATTTAAGAACAATAATTTCTATTACCATCCTTTTCTAAACAATACTTTACTAGAGCATGTTTGGGTAGTTACGTTAGGAAGGTAGTTGAGAACTCTCCTCCTTTCTCTTTCTTCTAGATTCCCATAGATACATATAATGTCAAGTGTCAGTTTCGTAATTTCTTATATGAACAAAACTGTTTGTCAGATTTCTAAGTACGTAATGATTGGCGAGTTGTTGTTGTCCTCTAATAGGAGCAGGAAGTTTTACGTAGAGTAAAATATCAAGGTAAGTTGACGCGTCGATAAAGAGGGAAGACTGTAGTGAAAGGAACTGCACCCCATGATCTTGAAATGTACCTGTTATTGTCATAAATAATGTATACCGGTTATACTTTTACCTACTCGTAACATTTCCTGTATGCTCATTTGTTGTTGAAAGTAACTTATAATTGGATTTTAATAGTCTTGCCAGTTCTAATTTTTATATTAAAATAATTATCATAATTAGAGCAAGTTTTATGTAGTTCATTAGGCATATTTTTGTTATTTTCCTAAAGGAATTGTATATGTGAATGATAATACTTTCCATTTAAAAGGTTGTAATGATTTTTTGTGACCTTTTATATTATTAGATGTAACAAAAATAGATCTTGAGTACGGTGCAATCATTATTTCCTCATATCGTTTCACCTTGGTAACTGACGTCTGACATTGTGGTTAAATTAGTATAATTCCCGACATTGATATGCAATGATATTTGGACAAGGAAGTAGAATTAAAATAATTCTTTGATTGTCTATGTGCCTTGTGTGACAGTAGTCATTTGAACATGGAACATCATTTACATTATAAAACGATCATAATTCATTACCAACAAAAAAATGCAAGATTTTTAATTGCCTTCTGACGTCAAATGATTGTTGATTTCCGGTAAATGAGCGAGAGGAAAATTTCGGGTTTATTAAGTCAATTTAGAGAAGAAAAATGAGAACGTTTCTCCAAACGTGATTATTTAATCTGGGGCCCCTAGTGTGGTTCGTTTGTTCTATTAAAGCACCCGGCTGGCCTTGGCCTTGGCAGTTGCCGAATCATGCAGAGGTCGCAGCAAATGAGCTCGTCCGGATCTCGCGGCTTGTATGTTGTTTTATTTTAAATGCCTATTGAGAACAAAGTGAGAAATAACATGTATGCCAGTAGTACTGGCCCAGTACGTTTAGAACGAAGCGTTTTGTCTACCAAAATATGTAGTTGGCTAAGCATGTGAAGCGATCCCACTATTTTTCTAAATTTATCTCGTTCATTTGAGACGACGCCATCGTATGGACTTAATTTTGATTTATTTTAACTGTATTATTTGTGATTTTGTAGTTAAGGAATGCCATTGGTTTACCATAATGGTGAAATCTTAATTTAAACCATTTTATTATAATTTTGTACAAACAGCGTATTTAACTAATGTAAACAAAATATTGTAAACCTATTTTAAAAGAGTAAGTGTGGAGTTTCTTGCCCATTCTTGTCCACACGAAACTACCTTTTGGAAGGGGCAACTAGAATCTTCTTTGTATTGTGTTTGACGTTCAAAGGTGCCATTTTAGGTGGTCTAATTGAAATAAATGATTTGACTTTGACTTTGCCTTACTATAAATGTTGTAGTTAAGCAGACTAGATACTAAAAGAGTAAATTATTAATAAAGACCCCAAAAAGCCTACCTAGAAAACTTTATACATACGTAACATAATAACTACTTGATAAGATATGCGATTCGATTGTTGCGGGCTCATCGTCAACGACGTAGCTGTAGGGGTAATTGACTTGCTCTGACCTCGCCGTGCTTCGGAAAAACTCGCACAAGCTCGGCACTCGTCGCCTCCACAACTATAAGCAACCTATTTTTAACTGACTTCAAAAAGGGGGTTTAATATTTTTATTAAATTACGTTCACCGAATACTTGAAGACACAAGTGGCTATGATGATCAGGTTAGGTTTTGAAACATGAAAGGTACATTTTAAGCGACTACTATATAAATTATAATCCAGAAACACAAATCGAACGGACGGTAGATATCCATAGTTTCGTTCTATTTAGTCGGTTATTGTTTTTAAGAAATTATAAATAATCACTATTTAATATCAGCTAAAAATGACACCTTTATAACGTAAACAATATCGTATTTGCATATAGATTCTTAGTACTTGAGGCTTGTTGGGGATTCAGGTTTCGAGCGCGCAAACACCGGTCTCAGAGACCTTGACCCAAGCTTACATCGCAAATGTTTGGCTCCAAACAAAATGCCGACAGAGCTCATCGTGTCTTCGTAGAATTCGATACAATTCACATTCTGTCAAAACAACTGATACGTAATAAGATCGAATATATGTGTGGTAAAAATCCGTAAACAACCTTACACATAATAATTACTCAAATTAAGAGAACGAGATTACCTTCGTTGATCTTACGCTGCTTGAGGTTCAGCTCGCCAATAGCTATGAAGCCTCAAACTTGCAGTCTATTATTGGTTTTAAAAATCAATCTTCACCCGATTTAAATTGTGAGAAATAACTAAACACTTTACCTTACTTTCCAACCGCACTTAATTATTCTTTAATTCTCAGTTTCATACAGTTACCTATATTTATGGGTCGTAAAATGGATGAACAATAAATTATGCACTAAGACCCGTTTCGCCAGTGTGCTCGGCACGCTTGGCCCATTGTCCCAGTGTCCTTGGTTTGTGTCCGCGAGAAGGCCGTCTGCTCCACAATTGTACATTTGACTTTTCAAAGGGCGACTGTTAACGACGGTTTATTTAAAATAATACCTATAATTCGTATCTAAGCCCTCTGAGTCCAAATTTGAATAGAATTTACAGAATAGCTAGGTACTAAATGGATAAAAAGTTGACTTTCACTTTTACATATTTTTTGCCCCGGAAGAACATAAGAGCTGCCGACTTGTAAGCAATGAGGTAGTCGATTAATTTTTTATCATTTAGTCTGTCTAATCCCCAATATAGAAAATGGTCACAACTGACAAAGTTAAATACACATGTGGCCAGCGACCATTTTTTATCCCAACATGGTTCAAATTCTACAAAGAATTAAAAATCTTATTTCGTTGCATTAAAGTCGAATATTCTTCACATGAACTACAACTTAAAAACACCATGTAATTTGATGCGTTTGATCCAATAGTATCAAAAAAGTAGGGACAACCGCGACGGAAGGAAGTTAAAAAATAGCTTCACTTGGTTAATGCAATTTTTTTATAGAAATACACACATGGCACATTGTAAGTTTTCATTATCAAGCGATCGCTTTTCGCTGGTTGATTATAGTAGTATAATTCAGTCCTTGTTGATTCATACAATATCGACTCCAGACTCGAAAAGAGTTGATCTAAAAAAGTGATCTAGGTAGTTGGCATCGTCGTTATAGATTTAAAATGAAACAAGCATGACAATATTATATTTCAGTGTTCAGTCACAAAGCGCCTGCGCGAATGGTGGCCTTGACCGGCCTGCGCCAAAAATTGCAGGTCATTCAACTCCCCGCCGCCCACCACCGCTCTTCTTTATCTCGCATAAATAACTTTCCACTTCAATGTGATTCCAACTTTATTTATTCTAACGTATGATATAAATTACAGTAGCACGTTACTCTTCAAGACGTTATATAAAATTAAATCATGTAAGCACATATCGGTTAAACTTGTTTATCAATAAGCATAGGTATATTCGATGTGTTGTCTCGATTATTTTCGTTGCAAACCTTATCGTTAGCGATTTTCTTGTTTAGGTGTTTATGCTTTCTATTTTTTATACTGTATTTTGATTTTTGTTGTTACGTTTAAATGGAGTAGATCTATAACTGATGCTAATTGAAATTAACAGAGAAAAAAACTGAAGTAATATTTTTAGTTTTTATTCTATTCTAAATATGATTTGTTTTAAATTTTGAAACTTTGCAATAATGTATTATGTAAGTGTAAAGGCAGTTCATGTTTGGCAAAAAGTTTTTGTATCTTTAATGTGCTATTTCTGGAAGTCACTATTAAAAGGGACATTCAAATTGGGCATCAGGCAAGTGGGTTGAAGTTCCAACGGCAGCGGGTCAGTCCGTCACGCGGCGACCTACACAGCGTTCGCCATCCATTAGCTCGATTTCGTGTTCAAGTTCACTCGCGCTCCATCACCAAAAATATTTTAGTAGTGTGACGCAACTACGGCTGCGTCCCACTCGAACGTTCCGCGGAGTGCTCAGTCCGCACCGCTCTCACGCGACCTTGGCCGCGGTGCGCCCGCAAGGTTCAGGTCTTCGAACTCGCAGCGCGGTGAGGTTCGCGGGAAGGGGACTTCTGATCCTCCAATGGTTCAGCGCGCACGTCCGCGCGAGCTCTCTATTGGTCCGTCCGCGTCGCGGCAATGACCTCGGAGACCAGAGTTTGAAGCGCGCCGAGAGACAGGCTTTACAGTACAATAAAGCCTAAATTCGCTCGGCGGCTCTCTACCCGTCGTCGAACCGATTGTATCGCACAGAGCCGCGATCATTTTGCAGACTTTCACTCTTAAGGGGAGACTCGAATGGCTACGACGAAAAGTACGTACGGCGCGAGCTCAGTTCGTCGATCGAGCTCGAGTGAAACGCACGCGGCGCGTTCAGCGGCAGTTTTCTAGGACGAGCGACCTTCATCCTTTGCGACGTGCCGGTCGCGCGCTTTGCCTGTGCACTCCTGTCCTATATCCAGTTGTTCAGTGAACGGGACGTGTCTTAGAGCTGTCTAGCTCCGATGTGGCTTACGTGTTGTGCAGTGTGGAGGAGGACAATTATTATTGTTTAGTTAATTAAGGACTTAGTGATGTCTCCGGATAGCAGTTACGGGCGTTACGATACGCCAACGCCAGTCGACACAAATATGATGAGTCCGGTGCATAAGGAACGGGAGCCAGAGCTGCATATAGGTATAAAATTATCTTGCATGATTACATCAACCTTAACTCTTAATTCAAATAAATTTAGCAGAAATTTGAGAAGTCATAAATATCAATAACTATAAAATTAACAATGATTGAATAAGTAAAATGTAACGCTAAGAAAAAAATTACTTAAGTATCTACTGTTTTCTTTTAAAGCGATTTGTTTCTGCGATATAATTATTTCAACCGAATCGCTATATATTAAATTTGTAAAAAACCGCCATCTGAATATGGACCAAATAATAATAAAAAATTAAAACTCAGTACATTGTCAAATAAATCCTTTATTTGTTAATATTGATTAATGATTTCTTTACATTTAAATAAAGGGGGTAAAAACTATTATACTGCTTACACATTCGGAACGAATAGTTGATCGATTGAATGTTGATAATATGAAAAGGAACAGTAAAACAATTAATTTTAACACAGTGCGAAATTTTTTACAACATAATTTAGACCCCCTTCAAAATCGAAGGGGTTCAATATTGCGTCAGCGGGGATTCAACGTTAATGATCTTGCGATAAAAATCGATTTATCAATTGTAAATATCATTTATTTTGTTACATAATTGTTATAATAATAAAAAAGCTGTGGGAATATATTTGCAGGGTTTGTTGACTTACACGCATTTATATAACCGTCTTATGACTAGGTTCAATGTTCTAATGTCAGCTTCCGCCTCGCTGTACCACTTTTACTTTCTACAAGTCTTTCACAAAACCAGTTTTTACGCTTTAACCAGATACATTTCACACATTTCTTTGCTGTGTTACTTGAAATTATGACATTTAAAACATAAATGTAATATCATTCAAGTTTGATATTTGGAATAAAAGTGATTCAGATTCCAACCATAAGACGTAAACAAAATCTTTAACAGGCATCTGTACTTATATATACCTATTTTTCGTGGCATTACCGGCTTTTGAACAACTTATGATATCATAATGCCTGAGCTTATACATGATATAAAAATGTATTTACTAACAAAAAATACTCTGACTCATATCTAGGGCACCATAAGCCAATCAATGTACGCTTCAATGCATCTGTTCGTGTAACGCGGTCGCGAGACTTTCTCGTGCACTTTCCTTGCCTCTTTAATAGACGTAACGAGCGACTCTCACATGAGCCAATCATAAAAACGTTTGAGTTGCATCACACGAAGTGAAGTTGCTGCACGCTACTTCTACAATTATTATGTCTAAGATGCAACCACTTTCGCGGGTCTTTGTAATCCCCACTCATTACTCGCAAGATGACGCCGAATGTAGATTGTAAATACAGAAGCCCGCGAGCGCACCTAAAAGAAAGTAACGTCATAGAAAGCGAGCGCTAGGAGCGTCGACCCGAGGCGAGTGTTGTTCAGAAATAGAAAGTTTCAAAAAGAAGCCTGCTCCCTGAACAAATAAACAAACATGGGCAAGGGAAAAGTGAGAGCGGTCGGGGGAGCCGAACAAACGAACCTGTTTCCTGATCGTGGCCCGACAGCGCGTCCTTTAAGATCCTTTAATAACATCTGACGTCACACCTGTTGTGGTCAGTTTTTTATCTATCACTGACCTACTAATCAAATAGCTTTTGTCATTAATTAATATATTAGTCTGTAGTTATTGCGTTTGTTATTATATCAGCTAGATTATTCTTATTGCATTGAACTAAACATAAAATATGTAGGGAAACGTAAATATTACACAAAGTGAACATTGAAGGGTCAACGACTTAGCTCAAATGCAGTAAAGACTGCGCTTTCTAAAATAACTATTCAGTGTCACCAACGCATGTGACGTGGTTACGTCACGGCTTACACCAGTTATGGACTCTATATTATAACGTATGTAACAGTTAATAAAGAGAAATTTTTGATTAATTCAGAATGATGAACACATTGGCAGCTTTCCCTGAACTAGAGATTTGTAACGTCATGTTAAAGTAGTGATTATAATTAACTTCTTATTACATGTCAACACGCACAATGTCTCACTTAGATTATCGATTCAATAAGACCCATGTGCGAGCATTGTATCGTGATAAACAAATATGAAGTTTAAATTAATAATATAAAAATGACTTTAACAAAGGTGATTCTTAGTTGAACGTTCGGTCGTGCAAGGTTGTTTGAATCATATTCTTGGGCGAATGTCATGAGTTTAGTGCTTTGGTAATAAACATTATTGGCTCGTAGGATGTTTAACATACATTTACTGCTCCGTAATCAGCACAAAGTCAACATCACGATGTTTACTAAATGTGTTATGTTTTGTTTCAGAGTTCGATGGTACAACAGTGCTGTGCCGCGTATGTGGTGATAAGGCCAGTGGTTTCCATTACGGCGTGCATTCCTGTGAAGGTTGTAAGGTAAATATCGACACTGTTGAAATTTTTGAATTCAAAACATTATTATCAATATTCGTCACATGCTCACTTACACCGTTGACAAGTCGTTACCACGCCATCACTTACTTGTGTACCTATGATAGAACAGAATGTATGGAAATCACGTATGGACCTTTCAAAAACGACGTAAATATATAAAAGGACATATTTTTATAATTTACGAAAGGAAGCGGTCTCGATGTTCTAGAATGTAAACAAGGCCGAACACGCGGAAGACAATCACCGTAGTTACTCAACAAAGCCTGGCCATGGTATTTTTGATGTAAATCCTATTTAAATTTCGTACTTCAACGCATTGATGTCACATTTGACCTTCGTAAAATACTAGAGTTTAAATATATCTAAAAGCTGCTGTACACGTATGGGATATGGCTTAGTTTTTTTAGTCGTTGATACCTGCCGGCCTCGACTAGCCGGTTCGTCCTTTGCGCCCCAATTTGTAATTATTTTGTCTCGAATGCCGAAACAATCACGTGGGAACAAAAAATGTGACACACATTTTACCGTCGAGGTTAATAGGGGAACCAAATAGTATTTGGTGTATGGTAATGGATATTTGTAATGTCTGCAAAAATGGGGCATCAGCAATTTATGTAGCTTGGATACTTGATATTACGGTCAAATATTTTTTTTTTACTGGTATTTCTCTGACGGTCTTTGACTGACATCAGCTACTTTATTTTTCTAATTAATTTTAAGATGAAATTTCATTTGCTTGATTATGATCAAATTTATAGTTAATAATAAATCTATGATACTTTTATCACTTCTACATTATTAACCTCACCGCTAGGACAGTACAAGTGTAGACAACTCAACATCAGTTTAATTTTTTTTTATTATTTGTATGCGCCACCAAGCCATGGCGACACCGTTCATAAGTAAGAGGTTTAAAAAGATTGTTAAACTAATACATGTAGGTTTACATAGTAATTGCTTTACTTTTGAGTGAAGTACTTTTAAACATGTTTCTTACCTCGAATTAATTTATACAATATTTATACGTTTTAGGTACGTATCAATTTTATTTAAATAGTATTCTTATTATGGATAATAATATATCTCGCGAAATGGTAAACTAAACGTCAGCGACACTAGCGCCAGCTGTATGCCTTTTATAGAAACAAAAATCTCACTACTCGATAATAGAGGGCGCTGAAAAGCAACATTATGAGTTGAGTTTTGAATGGACGGTTACTGCCACACGTGGGGCTTGTGTTCATTCGTACTACTCGTATGTCAACGAACTCGAGTTTATTGACTTACATCATTCAATTACTATATTTTTAAAAAATATTAATTTTGGATTTTCCGTTTATACGTTAATTACTATACACTTAATTAAATATTACGATTTAGGTTAATTTACAGCTATCGTAAGCTAATATAGAAAAAATTAACTTTATTTCAAATGAAATACATTAATTAGACTAAATATACTTTTCGCAATATTCTATTATAATTTGCTTTGATTATATATTTAATAACAAAACTCAAACTTACACTTTTATTCGATAATTACTTTCTATAGGGCTACTTATTGAATCTCATGAAAATATAACGATAAAAGTAAGTAAGCTTCAATCATTTGGTGACAAAAAATTATATGCCTATTTATTTTCTTATTAATTACTTAATAAGGTAAACGACTATCACTGGCTTTGGTAGGTAATCTGGCTGATTCTTTGTTCGCATACTGGCCGACATATTTCAGGCCGCGTTGTGGGTCGCTCATTTTTTCGGCACCAATTTGTGGCGCGGGTCGTCGACCTTCTCGCTAGCATGGCTCCAGCTACAGCCTCCTTGTAATAACTTTTACGGTCAACGAATGTATGTACGCAACGCGATCGTAACCTACATTATTTTTGAACTGTGAGATTTAAAGTTCGTTGATCCCGTGTTTATTTATCGAGAGCAGCTGAAAAGCGTTATATGATTTCCACAATTAAGCTGTAAATTTTTTATTACACAGCATATGCTGTTTCATACAGCTTAAATTTCTAGTACAGTTATATCTTAGTTCTGTAGCTTTATCTTTAGCTGTATACATCAAAAAGAAATATACACAGGTATACATATATCGCTTTTTGTAAACTCCTTGTTGTATAAAAACGTAACAGATTTTACTTCTTAGTAATTTTTTTAGATATCAGGAAACCTACATAGATATTTTGTGATATGTGAACAGGAAGTGAATCACAATATATGCGTGAGTCATTCGTCCAAGTAAATGTTATCAAGCAAATATCTGTGCAGCACGTAGTGGACTGTTAGTTGTGAGGTCGGTCGTTGGACGCTTCCACGGAAACTCAGATGCGTCAGCATGTTTTTGACTTAGCCGGTGTTAAGTCATTGTCCCCTGGACCGTTACTCGACGCATAAGTGTTGCGACTTTGTCACATAGCTAATATCTAGAACGGTTAGGCTATAATTTATTGATTATGAATAAATTTCATATTTCTTGTAATTAAAAAGCTGAATTTTATAATTAGTAGAATTTTAATATTTCTAGCAATATACGTAAGTTATTAAAGTAACCATAATTCAAAATATCAGCAAATAATACGGAACATCAAAATTATACTAAACAATAACATAACATTGTATCAAATTACAAATAATGATTTTGCAAATAAGCATGAACTTTAGTAATAAAAAATTACAAACGCAGTTAATAACAATAAAGTATATAAGTGTGTCAATGTAACGTTAATGACAAAAAATTGTTGGTCCGCTTAACGCTTACGGCTAAGCAACGGGGTTATGTCGAAAACTCTAGAAGGTGAATTGGTAACCTACTTCGCACTGTCGAAACCCTCAGCAGTGGCTTTATTTGCCTTTCTCGTATGTTTAATGAATCACTAATAAGAATCGGTATTTTTAAGTCGTTTAAAAATATATAATAATGTAAGATATTGCTTCTTAATAGACAAAATCTCGTGTAAACACGCTGAGTGTATTGTTGATATTTTTTCACGCTTTTGATAATAAACCAAAATTATATCACATACATAAACATTGTTTTATAACAATAAACGTATGACTAATTCATTATAGCTTCAAAACTAGATAGTTGTAATTGATTGTTTTAACATAGGCGTTTTTCATTATTTAATTATTACAAGAGAAGACTAATATTATCTAATATAATGCGGTGGGACAATTTTTATCCTTTAATGAATTGTTTAAACTTATTGTATGCTATATGTATAAAACATATTACAGCTTTTTTAAAGAAAATAAGTAGATTTACACCTACTAAACACTACCTTCATGTGGGGCAAGAGGGAATGGTTTTGTTTTCGCAGTAGAGGTTCGTCGACCTCGCTGGGTCGGTCAGTGCCCGCTGCGACCAATTATGGGCCACTCGCACAGCGCACAATGGATCGATGGCTATACGAATTTGGGCCAGACATTGTCTCCCCGCGACCCCGCATTCGCTTGATGGCTTCATTCGCGCATTTTATTCTATTATATTTTTGATTATTTTTCTAATCTTTTCTAAACTAAATCTAAATTCTAAACTATATTGTGTCAACGTAATAAGATAAAAATCTTATATTATAGTTTGAAAGATTTAATATAAGTTATAGTAAATATTATTTTTACGTACAGATCGATTTCAAACTATGATCGATACAAAAACACTTAACGATACGATTATACTCTGTTAAGAAATATTTCTATTTAATGTAGTTATCACAACGCTTGTCTAAACGAAGTAACTAAATAATATGATTATTATATTCATTGTGCATCATCAAATAAACAATAGTTTAAGGCTCGGACGCATTGCACTCTACGGTCTTCAATGAAGATTTAATATTCAATTAATGCACCCCTAAAGTAGTAGCGCGCGCGCATTGAGGTAGGCCGTGACGCAAAGTTGACGTCACCGGGTTTTAGTCGGTCGTCGCCCTGTACTGTCGTACGCGCCCTAGCTCCCGGGGCAGGCAGCTCGATAGGCGCGAGGGACGCGGGGAAGGGCCATTGTGCAATCGCGCGGTCGTCGACCCGGGGTGAACGGCCGTATGCCTCGACGCCCGCCGGGATGCGCCCGGCCTATATCCGGCACACCGGTGCAGCGGCAGCAGCGCATTCTAGAGCGACGAGGACCGTTAGGAGTGCGGGAGCGGTGAAGTGCGCAGGGGGCGAACACTCTCACTTTCTCGGTTGGGTCGGCGGCCGGCAAGTAGGTCGCGGGTAACTGCTCCGCCCGCCGCAGCGCCCGCACAGTTCGTCGTCGGCCACCATCCGTGTCGGTGCACTATAGTGAGCGCGGATTGTAGTCAGACTGTGGTGGTAGTGGCGAGTGAGTGGTAATTACGAGTTGTGAATGGTGTCTGGGATGGCGTGTGGCACTGAGTTGCGTGAGCGATACTCGGTGTTAGTGAGCATGTTGGAAGCGCGCCGCGAGTCCACGGACTCCGGTTGCTCCAGTGACGAAAGTTCCGATCCCGAACGTGACTCTAATTGCCGCTGTGATCCACAGGGGTTTTTCCGACGGTCCATACAACAGAAGATCCAGTACAGACCGTGCACCAAAAACCAACAGTGTTCTATCTTAAGGATAAATAGAAATCGGTGTCAATATTGCCGACTGAAAAAATGCATCGCCGTTGGAATGAGCAGAGATGGTAAGTTCAATATTTCTTTTATCGAACAAAATGAAAAATTACGTTTTTAAGGTACTTTTTAAGAAACTTTTTAAGAAACTTTTGCACTATAAATCGAAATTTACCAAGAAACATACATTCTTCATTTTGTTTTAATATATTTTATAGAATACGTGTTGTTATATAAAACTCAGTATAGAAGAATTTAGAAGGAATAAGATGAACTCTAATAATATATATTATTTTAACTAGATGACTAGAATATTTTACAAACGTAACATCTAATCGAATTCAGTACGCAACCAGTATTAGAAGGTCGTCGCGCAATCTCGTGCAATAGATATTCTGTCATTCGAGCGCGCCAAGTAGGACACGCAATTTAGCTAGCGCCTAGAAGCGATGTTCGCGCGTTGCTTCACTATCAGATCCTATTTTAAAGTGCGGTCCGGTGCGAGGGGCGGAGGGGACAGGAGGGCCCAGAGGACGCATGCAGTGTGGGAGGTCGGTTATGCAAGCGCGGGTGAGCGCACGCTAACCGGGTCGACGGCCGTAGTTGCTCAGCACTTTGCTCCGCTCAGCGTGTTGCGACATTCCCTCTACTCGTACGTCGTCTCCCCTCTATTACTTACGCGCAGTGAAAGCAGAGAAAGGTGTTTCGTAAGCACGAGAGTGAAATTTCTGTTTTCACTTTCGCAGCGGAGTTCATCGCCCTGCTATGTAGATTTTTTAAGCTCATGGGCAAAAGATGCTATTTTTTTTTTGATTAAAATATTCATGGCTAAAGTAAAATTATTCATAAATAGTTTATGCTCTATACTTTTATTTTTAAAATTGTTAAAACATTATATCCAGTATTCACTTCACTACACACAGTATTTTTACTTTTAATTTAACAAATTCACATTCGATGCACATAGAAAAAATAATGAGATACAGTTTAAAATTCCACGTTACTTATCACACAACCAAGTTAACTTGCTGTAGTCTGGCTACTCGGCCATAGATGGCGCTGTTTACCAAAATCAGCTACACATTTATCGTAGCCCGAGTTGTTCGGTCGGTCTACGGTAGCTACAACCTACGAAGACTCTACGAAAATTAAAGAAAGATAATGCTAACGAATTGACAAAAATATGGGTAGGTTTTATTTATTGTATGGATAACGATCCTTATTATCCTTAAAAAAATTATATTATAAAAAGACAGTGTTTGGCAAAGCAAATCATGCCAGATTAGGCTTATAAAAAACAAAGAACTAAATATTCAAAGCATAATCTAATTAATTAATATATCGTTAATAATGATTAAGACCTTAAGCTAATGAGCTAGAATACGGAATGCCGTATTCTTAAATGAAATATGTAATTTTTTTCGCTATTAAAGAAAAGTCGACCAATGTCAGGCAATGAAAATGATAAGCAAAAACTTGTCACGATTATGGCTTATTAAAAATCTATTGTTAATTTGTAAAAATTTGAAGACCATAAAATTAAAGGAACAATAATTCGGTTGGTAAATCGCAAGAACTAGAACGGTTCGGGGGGAGAGATGGGAGCAGGGGCCTGCGCGGAGTTTATTGACGGCGCCCCTCCGCCGCTCACACCGTTCGCCCTCCCTCCTCAAGTTCAAGGTTGGCACGGCGCGCGCCGCCGCGCAGTGCGAGGGAGTCCGGCCCGCGCATCGGTCGTCAGCCCTCATTATTATCGCTATGTTAGTACGCCGCTTCGCAGTTGGCCACGAGAGCTCGATGTTCACTCACAGTGCTCGTTCGAACGTCGCAGCTCGCTAACTCTACCGCGTTGTGCGAACATAATACAAACATTGGATTACATTTTAGTGAATAACAACTATTGATGTGTGATATGTGACACTTATTAATTCGTTTATATTTTAACGTAGTTACCAGTTTTAGTTATCAACGCCTTTTGGCTGTGAATAATTAGTGTAGTGAAGATTAGTAATGGTATCGGAGATGGGTGAAGATTTACCAATTCTCAAAGGCATCCTGAATGGAGTCGTCAAATATCACAATGCTCGTATGTATTTATTTCATGTGACAACTGAATCAAAACTTATTATAGAATTAGACTTTTTAGTTATTTATAGAACAATTCAATTAGTGTCACTTTCGAAACAACAAAAAAAAACGTAAAGCATTATTTATATTTTACTTTAGAAATTTATTTTATTTTCATTCATCTGGTAATTAATAATGATGAAGTTATTTAACTACTTTACAGTTTGCTATTTCTCATTATCATGCAAAGTGAATAGAAAGTAAATAACCATAAAGTTGTAAACAATATCTGTAACGTTTTTTGACTTTAGATTTAATTTTTTAACGTTTATTTTAAAAAAAAGTAATTTAATTTTACAGAAAGACTATATAATTAAAAAAAACAATACAATCATTTATAAAAAATGTATAATGACTTTTTCGTTCAAGTTCATAATTCTCAATAAATGCAATTGACACTATTTTTAAATAACTCCTAGTTGTTATTGAAACAACAGTTAGTGGATATGTCGTGGTAGTGGCCTACTTTATGCAGGGAAAGTCGGGAGAAATGGCGAGAGGGCGCACTCCGCTTTCGTTTTCAATCGCGCAAACACTTTCACCAACGCCAGCGCATGAAAGCCATAAGCGGTACGCTCGTCTCCGACGCATACTACCTTTCAACACGCGACACGCCCGCGTCGAGAAAGTTGTAACACTTTTTAACGTGACCTCATGGATCACGCTTTGTCACTCGCTTTTTAAACTAAATCGTTAAACTATTATAAACGGGCAGTTTTGCATTTTTCAAAGCACTAGACATAAGGGTCGGTAGACCTTTGCGACGGGCGATGAACTCTACCCTCTCGTCAGCTGCGCATACACATGGCTTTCTGTATGCTCGCCTGTGCACGCATTTAGCGACAGCTGCCCGTCGTTCTATGTAAACCGCGACCTTGCACAACATTTATGTTCTTTTAATGTAATCGATTTATGTTACACTGGTTTAAAGGGTTTGAATATTAAAAGCGGTTTTCTTTTGTTACAGCTGTTCGATTTGGACGTGTTCCGAAACGGGAGAAAGCACGTATATTAGCTGCAATGCAGCAATCCTCATCATCGCGAGCTCAAGAGCAAGCGGCCGCAGCGGAATTAGATGATGCACCACGGTTACTAGCGCGAGTGGTGCGCGCTCATCTCGATACCTGCGAGTTTACGCGTGACCGCGTGGCCGCCATGCGTGCCCGAGCTCGCGACTGTCCCACCTACTCGCAACCCACTTTGGTAAGCATTGTTTTTAATATCTCTTCCCAATGAAAGTTCGTTCTTCATTGCATAGCTAATATTTAACATTGTTTAGCATTATTAATTTATTGTTTCTTTTGTTACAGGCTTGCCCCCTCAACCCTGCGCCTGAATTGCAGTCCGAGAAGGAATTTTCCCAGAGATTCGCGCACGTCATTCGTGGCGTGATTGACTTCGCCGGCCTAATCCCCGGCTTCCAGTTACTCACTCAAGATGACAAGTTTACATTGTTAAAAAGTGGTCTATTTGACGCTCTATTTGTGCGGCTAATTTGTATGTTTGATGCTCCGCTCAATAGCATAATCTGCCTCAACGGACAGTTAATGAAAAGAGACTCTATTCAGAGCGGTGCTAATGCGCGTTTTCTTGTGGACTCTACATTTAAATTCGCGGAACGTATGAACTCTATGAACTTGACCGATGCTGAAATCGGTTTATTCTGCGCTATAGTTTTAATCACTCCTGATAGGCCGGGACTACGCAATATTGAATTGGTTGAGCGAATGCACGCGAGACTCAAGGCGTGCCTGCAGACCGTCATCACCCAAAACAGACCTGACAGACCTGGCTTCTTAAGAGAACTTATGGATACACTTCCAGATCTTCGCACACTGAGCACACTTCACACTGAGAAGCTTGTCGTGTTTAGAACAGAACACAAGGAATTATTAAGACAACAAATGTGGGGTGAAGAGGAAGGTTGCTCTTGGGCTGACTCCGTTGCTGATGAATCTGCTAGAAGCCCGATCGGTTCCGTGTCAAGCAGCGAATCTGGTGAAGTTATAAATGACTGTGGCACGCCATTGCTAGCCGCGACATTAGCGGGACGGAGACGTCTAGACTCCCGCGGCTCAGTTGATGAAGAAGCACTTGGCGTAGCTCATCTGGCACACAACGGCCTGACCGTCACACCCGTGCGGCCGCAGCCTCGCTACAGAAAGCTAGACTCACCCACAGATTCCGGTATTGAGTCTGGAAATGAAAAACATGAAAGAATTATTGGACCGGGTTCTGGGTGCTCCAGCCCACGATCTTCTCTAGAGGAGCATCTTGAAGACAGGAGACCTCCTATGCCAAATGACACACGTCTTGATGATATGCCAGTACTCAAGCGTGTCTTGGAGGCTCCTCCACTTTATGATACATCCTCTTTGATGAACGAGGCTTACAAGCCACACAAGAAATTTAGAGCCATGCGTCGCGACACAGGCGAAGCTGAAGCCAGAGCGGTGCCATTAACTCCATCACCCCAGCCACCGCACCATCCACACCCGGCAAGCCCGGCACATCCGGCACACTCTCCCAGGCCGGTGCGAGTCTCTCTGTCTTCGACCCACTCCGTGCTAGCGAAGAGCCTCATGGAAGGGCCTCGCATGACTCCTGAGCAGCTAAAACGCACCGACATCATCCAGCAGTACATGCGGCGCGGTGAGGTGGCGAGCGGCAGCACGTCTTCTGCCGATGGTTGCCCTCTGCGTACAGGGTTACTCTCGTGCTACCGTGGCGCATCTCCCGCGCCCGAACCCGTCTTGGAGCTGCAGGTGGACGTAGCTGATGCGCCGCTTAATCTCTCAAAGAAGTCGCCGTCGCCGCCGCGCCCATACATGCCGCGCATGTTGGAGGCGTGAGGGCGGCCCGCGGAGCCCCAGGTCTCCGCTACCTCACCCCGACTTACTTTGAATTAAACAAACTTTGTAGTTAATGATCGTTCGCAAATCGGTTAATATATTATATGTGATAATTCGTTTAAGGCGCGTGGTTGCGTGGCCGGTGCGGGACGAGGAGAGCGCAATAGACTGAATAATAATTTAAGACTATATAAGTTAATTTATAATGCATTGCAGCGCCGGTCGCAGTGTGTTTGTGAAATGTGTGTAACGTATGTGCGTATGTGAGCGTGCTCAGTCATTTGTTTGTTAATTATAATGACAGGTTGTCGAAATAAAATAAAACAAACTTGTAAAATTTATTTTCTCTTTTATTTCCTCCTCAGAACTCAGAAAAAATGGGCTGAAAGAAAGTAGACAATTTCAGATTGAAAATAAAAAGCTAAATAATAAAAATGGGCTTCAGTACCTAATGGCAAAGCTCGTCTTGAAGTCGGAAACAATTATTTACATATCCAAAATATAATATTATTAAAATATCAAGGTACATGTAACCTGACCTTTCGGTCTAACGTTTCAAGACTTCGCTTAGATTTGACTGATTTTAATTTTTTTTAAATTCGAGGTTTATCTTATTACCAGTTCAACTGTTTATAAATGTCAAACTTTGAATACTTTAAATATTGATATAATAATTTAAAAAAAAAAACAATTTAATAGCCTAGCATAGTACTAAATCACCACAATTTAAAGATTCAAATTTAAAAAATAGATCTGTATCGTATTTTGATCATATTTCATTGTTAGGTAAGTAATTAAAATCAGTTCTCTAATGAAGAGATTAAAAATCTTATTTAAATTATACCATCCAAAAATTGGAGAAGTACCTAATGAAAGTTCTTTTGGGTTAATACTATATTATAATGCGTTAATACTTTAGCGCTTATAACTTATAGCAAACCATCTTAAAAGGCCGGCAACTCTGGCATTGAGTGTCCATGGGCGGCGGTATCACTTAATATCAGGTGAGCCTGCTGCCCGTTTGCCCCCTGTTCTATAAACAAAAAAAAAATCTAATGAATTACGGAAAACAATGATAATTCTTAATGTACACAATACCGCGGTCGATGGCCGACCTAGCTGAGTAGCACTTCCGTCTGTTACAAGTTTGACCTACGCTACCTCCATCCGTCTTCCGCAGAACTCAGGGCTGCAGTGCTTCCTTGTTTCGGCCACTCAAGAGTATACCCTTGGGAAAAAAATCACGTATATACGCACTTAATAAAAGATCTGATCCCGGTATAGTCCAAAATATGGTAAAAAAAGACGTTTTTAGTATTGTCTTTGATTAAGATAACTTTTATTCATTTAATAAAACACTATTTTGACCGTGACCACGCACGCTGTAAAGCACGCGTCGGATAAATTTAAAATTATGTTAAATAGTTGTAAATTTATAATAATACATAACTTCAATCCGGTCAAAATAGTGTTTTATTAAGACGTTTTTAACTTTACCTTTAAATTATTAATTCGGTCAATGAAAACTCATATAAACTGGTAATATGCTAGGCAATCATAATCTCTGAGCTACTAAGTTTTGTTAAAGGTGGTAGGTTAGTATCACGAAAGCAAGTAGTTGATATCTACATTTCTATATGTACCTACCGAAAGAACCTTACAATATTCTACTAAATAATACTTCTATTTATTCTCATTTCCTAGAGTTAGAAAGTCCAAAAATAAACTTAAATAGTATAACAATGATTACATCTAAACATTATAATTTAATTTTCTACACTCAATTCGATACATTAAGCTACTATCCCCAAGACACTATTCATTACTAGTGTATATTATATTACATTATTATATTATTATTATTATTGTATATGTATTACACATAAAAGCCGCCACCTCTCTGGCATTTTAATTTTTAATTTTTAATTGATATATTATTTATCTAATATACTGCTCAAAACAATTACGGGAACAAAACTTTAAAGTAGAACTAAACTTTTTACTTAAGGTTTTAATTATTACTGGCCACTAGATAATGTTAAGGCATTGTCGAAGAAAAATAAAAAACAAAAGAGCATCGGCGTTTTGAATAATTAGTAGACCTATAATAAAGTGGCAGTGTGTCTAGAAACACCTAAAAACAAAGTGACGTCTTTGAATTTTCATTACTTTCTAATCACAGAAAACACATTTTAAGTAGTTTTTTTTCAATCTTTTGAGTATTAATAGAAATTGAAGTGAGCCTTTTGAGTATTGTTGTTCATTGAAGCGAGTGAGCTTAGGTCATAATGCCAGATCTGACTGAATTGCATGTCTCCCGAGCTATCGCTTTGCTTGAAGTGGGTCGAACTATGCGTTATGTAGGAAATGATCTAGGAGTAGCCCCTTCTGTTATCTACAGACTTTGGAAGCGATACCGTGAGACGGGAGAATACTCACTACACGTTTACTTTCGGTACGTACGGTACGGTTACGTACGGTACACGAAAAACTACACGTTTGCAAGATCGCTACATCGTCAACTGTGCTTTACGTAACCGCACCACAACTGCAAGAGATCTACAAAATACACTAAGGACGGCTACTGGTGTAGAAATTTCCGACCAGACGGTAAGAAATAGGTTGTTGGAAGCCAATTTGAGATCACGCCGACCAGTTCGGGCTGTGCGTCTAACAATTCAACATAGACAAGCTCGCCGACAGTTCGCGCAAAATCACGCTAATTGGCAACTTCGACATTGGAGGCCAGTGCTTTTTACTGACGAATCACGATTCCGTCTAACACGTTGCGATGGTCGTCTCCGTGTTTACAGACGCCCAGGCGAGCGATACAGTGCAGCAGTAGTCCAGGAATATGACAAATTTGGATGTGGCTCTGTGATGGTTTGGGGCGGAGTTAGTTTGGACGAGCGCACAGATCTCGTCGTTGTTCCCGGGCGCTTGTGTGCTCAAACTTACATTGAAAATGTGCTCGAAGATCATGTTTGGCCCGCAGCATATGGTATGGGCCCAGATTTTCTTTTAATGCAAGGTAATGCCAGGCCGCATACTGCAGCCATCACGTCAGATTACTTACGACAGCAGGAAATCCGTGTAATGGAGTAGCCTTCCATGAGCCCTGACCTAAATCCAATTGAACACATTTGGGACTTGCTTGACAGGCGCATCCGGAAGCGTCCGATTGCACCTCAAACACTGCAGCAGCTCACTGAAGCGTTGATTGAAGAATGGGAGCGAATTCCACAAGAAGATATTCGGAGGATCATACGAAGCATGCCGCGTCGTTGTCAAGCCGTGATTAGGGCTCAAGGAGGCCACACACATTACTGAAAGTCACTAAAGACGAATATTCAAACGATATAAGAATATTTCTTTGATGGACCTTTTTTATCACCAATTAGTTTTTCGTCTACAATGCACATTTTAATTTTTTTTTTAATAAAAATAATACAAATTGAATTTTTTTATTAATTGTAGTAATTAACAAATTAACAAGGTAAAAAATAGCGTACAAGTTAATTTAAATCTAATTTTAGTTTAAGCAATAGAAAGGAGAAAAATCTTGTTCCGCTAATTGTTTTGAGCAGTATATATAAAATTCTCGTGTCGCGGCGTTTGTAATTAAACTCCTCCGAAACGGCTTGACCGATTCTCATGAAATTTTGTGTGCATATTTGGTATGTCTGAGAATCGGACAATATCTATTTTTCATCCCCCTAAATGTTAAGGGTAGTCCACCTCTAAATTATTATATTTTAAATTTTTAGATTAAATTTTTTTTTATTTTTTATGATACAGCATAAAAAAATACAAACAGCCCCTAATTTTCACCCCTCTACGATCAACCCCAATTTTGTATTATAAATGATATACATGGCAAAACGACGTTTGCCGGATCAGCTAGTTATCAATAAATTCTTTGTACTAACCGTAGGCTTTTATTCTTCCGAAACGTCTGATACGAAATGTTAAGAAAGTTTTATTAATATTTAAGTTGCATCGATATAACAAAATATTTTTGATCTGTTTTGCTGTTTCGGACACCACTTACATAGAAACCTTGTAGCTTATTGAATTTATAGCTTAGGGGAGCCGAGTCTTTTTCATATTTTTATTACTTTTAATATTCATATTTTTATCAGTCAGACCTAAAAGGTCAAACTGTAAATACTTCCCGTATTTATCATATTGTATGATATTCCTTTGTTTAACTGCTGACCAGTTATGACTGTATCATACTATCCGAGTATATCGTGGTACGTACTACTCTTTAAGTCATTAATACTCTTAAAGTGTATCAGAAAACCTGCCAAATCCAGATCATTTAAATGCGAAGCTTATTATACGTCTGAGAAAGAGATCAATCGTCAACTTGGAATTGACCTCAACCCAAGGCCTTCGCAGCCATTGTTATGCTTAACATCTGCCAGTATGTCTGGCCTTCAACTGTTTTAAGGAATAATAATACATTTCTTGTTGCATTCATGGGTATGAAAGAAATTAAAATTGCATTAAATTTGTGCAAACCAAAGAACTTGGTTATTTTTTGGACGACGACCATTCATTGCGATCAGACTGTTTTGTTATTCTTTATTAATTCTTCAGATATTCCATTGAATTAAAAATGTAAGGTAGGTAGATATGTTGATTCAGAGTATCCTTTTATACAGACAAAGAATTTGTATACTAGATTTGAGATATTCCAGTTTTAAAAATACGCAACATAGAATCTTTTAATTTTCATATAAAATGATTACAGGAACATTTCATCGTTACTAGTCTTATCTTAAGTTACTGTATTTCGTATCATAACTATTATGTAGGTACTATAGATATATCAAGTTGCAAGGATTGCAATCGGGTATTGACCGGGTGTTGAGCGCATGTCGGCAGGACTGGCGCAGCGGCCGTGCACTTGACTCGGCGTAGGTGCATCGCCCGCCCGCAACCCGAGCCTGGCTCTCCCTGCGCATCCTCTTTCCACCCCAGCCCACCCTCAGATCTGTACCCTCGCCCACGTAGGGAGCAAAGGTCATCATTTCAAACAAATATTATATAAGATGCCTGAAATTATATTAAACAAAGTGTGTTGCAAACTACTGGACCTATACACAATCTTCTTTGCATTTTCGCTAATTAATTTAGTTAAATCGAGTTCGTTTTTAATTTAATCTCTAAACAATAATAGAGAAAACTAATCCCAGACTAGATTCCCGTAACTATTTTAGAATTCATTCGTTTGCTTTCGAATTTCATATTTACCTGACAAATTGCTCAATGTTTATTGTATGTTTCACAATGTATTGCGTTGAAAATTAAATATGGGGCTAACTGGCAATTAATATAATAATAATTTTATGTATGAGATATCCTGTTTCTGTAGGAACCATCGACGGGTTCGACCTCGAGGCGCAAGGTCGCGACGCAGGCATTTTGAGTGTTCCGTATGTCGCCTGAAGGTCTCAGACTATTTACAGACTACGTTTATTTACCAAGAACTATTTTTCTTTTGGTAAATCTACACTTTTTGCTTTTCCTGTAATGTATTAGGTAACTGTAGGAAGTGAAAAGAAATATAACATAATATCAAATAGTAAATAAAACATTCGTTTTAGGATTTCTTTTTTTTCATTAAGAGTGAAAGAATAAAATGAAAATAGCCAAAAATAACACTAAGACATAAATGTAATGCAGTAGTGTTGCAATGTCAAAATACTTTCAATAACTTTTCCTTGGCCGATAACAATATTGAACCTTTCGATCTTGTTCCAAGCCAGGATAATATTAAATTTTGCATAGAGGTAGGCGGAAAATGAGGCTGTGGGGTTGAACGTGGGCGATCGGGTGAGGGTGGTATAAGGTGGTTAGGGGTGCGGGGAGTGGGGAGCGCGGTCCGCTTCAAGGTCGCAGAGTCACAGCCGGGCAAGGTCGCTGTGCCCGCGCGTGCCCGCTACCGCCCGCCCGCTCCCCGGACCCCTATCACACCCTAGATTTGCGTGGGACGCGACCTTTATCCACGCTCCAGAGAAGTAATTGTATACAGGCACTAATGTTTTACGCACTAAAATGTTGAAATTTAGTCTAGATTGAGGAAATTGTAACTAGCGTGTTATCTTTTCCTGCATTTATTATTGCATAACGAAACTTGCAATTCTTATCAATATGTTGATATAACTTTCTCTATAATAGTACATACATATTTTATTAATATAAATAAAGTCGCGTAACATCATATTATAAAGGACACATTCATGACTAATAATTTTAATATTTCTACATCCTTAATTATAATTATTGCATATTTTATATAGACAATGTTAAATTTCAAAATAATTATTGAAAACAATGTCCGCTTAAAACATGAGTCCATATTAGGTAGGTGAATAAATATAAATTAATTTATAACAAAACACTTTCAGGAAAACCGCAGTTACCTAACGAGGAACCCGGTTTGACGTCATTACCTTTTGACCTTCAGAGTTTCCGACCCCGGCATTTTGCTCAACCTACCTCCTTTAGGTAACTCCATAGGATGTACTTAGAATAGAACATAACAGATACCTTATGTATGCGTAGCAGTTTTCATTCAATTGGATCATCTAAATACAGGATCAACACAGCATTTGATTAAAACACATTTAGGTTTAAAGTTTATTTTCATTCAATACATTTTTACATGAGAAAAAAATAATAATATTAAAAACATAAAAAAAAATCAATGGCGCTACAACCTCTTTCTTGGCCTCAGATTTCTGAATCTATTTCATGATCATTTTTTAAATCTAATAGGCAAGTAGGTGATCAGACCAGTGCCTGACACACGCCGTCGACTTTTTGGGTCTAAGACATGTCGGTTTCCTCACGGTGTTTCCTTTCACCGTTTGTGCAAATGCTAAATGCGCACATAGAAAGAAAGTCCATTGGTGGACAGCCGGGGATCGAACCTACGACCTCAGGTATGAGAGTCGCACGCTGAAGCCACTAGGCCAACACTGCTCAAAAAAAAGTAAAATATATCACGCCACCGTCGTTACGCTGTTATTACATTAGAGTACATCTACCAAAAAACATCGCAGTATTATTCGAAACGGGTCCACTGCTACTATTTTGGATACCGGAGGCAAGCTGTTGCAAAGACTCGCTCCGAGATAGGTTATATTTTTGTGACCATATTCGGTTCTGATTTTAGGTAAATGTGTATGATTAGTGTAATACCGGCTACGTGTGGGATTGAAGTTAAATTTAATGCTCGTGTGGTTTTTGGTTATGTCTTTTTTTTAACTAAAATGCATGTCGTGTTCAAACATTTGAAGTTCAGATTCAAATTATAATCTTAAAAAATTAATATTAATCATTATCAGTTCAAATCTATAAAATTAACAGTTATATCTTTACTAATTATTTAATCAGCACGTCTTTTGATATGACGCAATAAAATTTTTCCTTGTTATTTGTAACGTGCAATTACAATAGGTTTATATACTTATCTCTTATGTAAAGTAGTTATCAGGGCGAACCGTTTGCGGACTGGATTGTCCATGACCTCAGTCTCAGCAATGTTACGCATGTCACCCGTTGCCTAAGGGTTTATCTATAACGAAATTATATATTCAATAATTCACAAAACATAAAGTTGTTTCGTAATACAATTGATCGACTTATGTATCTTCATCACTTTAAGTAAGCATAAAACAACGAGTTTTTACTATGTAGTCAGAATATTGGTACATAAATTATCCTTAGCGTACCCTCCCTGGCCTTGGTTATAGGCATTTTGTCTGGGAATTTAGGTTATGAACGATCGAGGACAAACAAAGTTATAACGAACAATGGTTCGACCTAAAAACGTCGTCCTAATTTATTCTGGGCAAAATTAAGCCTTAGGATGGTTTTATTAGATAAGCAACATAGAGACTTAATGGACATGACATTAAAAAAAACATATAATGACATATTCTTAATATTTTTTTGTACGTAGAACCAACTATATATATGGTATACTTGATTTAATATTTAGTTTATCTAGTGGTTGCGTTAGTATACTTAAAAGTTTTACTTGCAATAGAAAAAGTTAAATAATAATTGGCCATTAGTAAGATTTAACCTACCACAGTTTTAACTGAATATGGTCTATTTATTGAATTGACTCAGCTTCAAACTTTGAATATTACATCGAGGAAAACAGGTTGAAGCTGGAAAAGCTGCGCGAAATGTGCGATGGTTGCATTAATAATCGAGTCTTGGGATTGTGATGCTGGAATGAGTTAGATAAGTGTTGGAAAGGGAGGAAGGTTAAATGAAGGACGCGGGTCGCTTGTCCCAAACCCAATATCTGCGCATGTACATAATAAAAATCTGTAATACGACCAATAAACCAAATAAATTCCAAAGTCATTTATTGTAAATATAATACAATACGCCTATATCACAATTTTTTTAAGGATTTTTGAAAGATTATATGTATTTATAATTTTATTTAATTTTTTATAATTATAACTTAATGAGACATTAGCTTAAGATTAATTTATAAATGCATATTAATAAATTAACTCATCTGTGTACCAACTACATAACATATTGGTAAGTAAGTAATTGAAAATATGAAATATCCACTGCCGCTCAATATAATGTTTTCCATGGTGTTTAACCTACCTAAATGTTTAATTACCTGTGAAATGCAACCTATTGACCGTAAAACGAAGTGATATACTTAATGGTCGACTGATTTTATCGGGCAAGAGACATGGAACTGATGAGCACAGTGTCCTTCTGGCCACATTATCTATGATGTAGGTCACAAATGTCACCCGCCCTTGACCGACGGAAAATGTTTGCCCTTCATAACGCCCGATGTTCTCATTGCGGGAGCTGCCAAGAAAGTGTCAATTGACAGAGGCGCTAACAATTTAGAATACAAAACGAATAAAAGACAATGTTTATCGGAAATATCTTACAACAATTGTTGATGCCAATACACATTTCTAGATCGAAGAGAAGTAATCGAACAGCGCAAAAGATCTGAAAATAGTGGCATGACATTATCGTGACCTTGTTTGTAATTACGACGATCGAATTACGCGATCGTGATACAAAGGAAAATCGCGTTTTCGTGAATTATTCCGGGAAGTTCTGATAGAGGCGAGTAACGGGTTGGCTACGATTATTCAGATATCTCGATTCGCACACATACACATTATGTATACGCACTTGGGAATCGCGAACGCGAAAAGTAGTGTGCGTGTGTGTGACATTGAACTTCACTCTTCACGCGGCAGCCGCGGCGCGGGCGCATGAGTTGCGTAATAAATTCACATTACCCCATTAGTGAGGCGTGGTGAGACATGATCGTACAATGCTGCTAAATAATGTTATTTAAAAGTAATTATTAAACGAGGACTTAATTTTCATCAGATTTATTTCAGACGTATTAATAAAAGAATAAATTACTTGAATAACACATGCGCTTAAAATAGCACAAAAGATACGGAAGTAAAAAATCATTTATTTTATATCGAAATTACATTAATTTTAAATATTCTATAAAATTTTACGAGAAACCAAACATACAAACTAAAATATACATTATTTTCGCACAAAAACCTAAAATATTCTACATGAATTTAAACGTACAAAGCGGTCTTTGGCCAGTTAGCAGTCCTTGAATGTCAACTAATTCGCAACAGTTGCTTCCGCGAGCGACGGGACAAAGCGAGGTCACCCTGTATAATAACAATATTTATTGACGTTTGCGACCGCGAACTTGTCTACTTATGTATATCATTTGTTTCCGTGAACGACTCTATAATCCAATCGCTTCCTCGTATCTCTTGAGAGCTACTTTTGTTCAAGGTTAATCGTTACTTATTTTTAAAAGTGTACCAATTTCGCACTTTACGTGGGGGACTTTTGCTTTGAATTGGAAAAAAATAGAAAATCGAAAAAATAAATTAATAGTTCAAAGAGCCTAGCTAACCAATAATGACTCAAAATAATGATTATAAAGGATTCAGGAACAAACCAGATGACCTCCGTAAATACCTAATAAAGCAACAAATATATGGCGGCGCGGGCGCGGGCGGTATCAGACTGTACAAATAGTTGCAACCTTGAGATTCGGTGCGAGCGACAAGGTCACCGCGCAAATCGTTATCAGCGTGACGTCAGCGGGTGACCTCCGAGGGACCTTGGCTGAGGTGCCGCGATAACGCCAACCGCTGACGACCGATAGCCGCCACTATTTTGAAGCTTCCGCCTTGCTTTTTGCCACGTGGGCAGAAGTCATATTAAAACTATCTGAAACAGAATGCTATCGACTGTATGCTTAGTTATACCAAATAAGGGAATTTAACAATAATTAAATGATATCTATTTCTGTAACTACCCAATAGTTATGTTTTATAAACCCCGAATTGCGACTAGCGTACGTACGAAAGACCCATCAAATATATGTTTAATTTTCAATTATTTCATAAATTTTAATCAAACATCATTCTCCAATAAAACTTATTTTACAATCTAAATTTAAAAAAAAACATTTATCAAATCGTGTTGATACTAAACTATTTCGCTGTTGGCAATTATCCCAAACATTCACAAAGTTTGAAATTCGAATCACTTTCTTCATACTATCGTGGCCTGCTGTTCTGCATTACCTGACCTTGTCTCTTCATGGTCGTGCAAAAATACCAACATTAATCTAAACTATTCTAGATACACCGCTTCAGGAAGCGATTCGCTAAGCTTAACATAAGATAATAATCATGTATCTACATTTGTTATATGATAATACTATCGTCGTATGTTTACTTTATGATATCGCTTCATAAATAATAGTGGTATAGCTAAAACAAATTAAAATTAAATTTTATTATAGAAGTATAAGGAAGATGGTGAATAAGTAAAAAAGATGTTATCATGTTCGTTTAATATTAATTGTTCGTTGTAAAATATAATGCTAATTTTAACATTTTATTGTTCCGTTTTGCTAAAATTAATATAACATAACTAAATTACACGATAAAGAAGAGTAAAGTTCATAATTATTATAAATTTATTTAAGATAAAAAAAATAATTTGCAATTTCAAGCTAATTAAGGTTAAAATGTACTAAGTACCAACTTTCATGTATGGCAAGGCAAAAGTAGTCCATAGCGTTTGGGTGAGGCGAGCTCGACCTGAATCTGAATACGGCAAGAGAAATCTTCACCGGTTCAGAAACTGGCCAAAACAATTTACTAAAGTCATTTCTGCAGAGAAAGGACCTCGTCCTTACTTTAGCAACACTTACAGATTATATCAAACCATTTTACATTAAATCTTTAGTTTCTAAATGTTGCTATCGTGCACCTACTTTTACTCAACTTTCACTTACGTAGAGAAAATGGAGTAAGTATATCGTAAGGTTATTTCTTGTTTCTAGAATATAGCCTCTAATAGCATTACTCAGTGGGCTCAAAGAAAGTGACAATTAATATTAAAATTAATAAAACAAATAATATTAAAATTTTGAAATGTTTACACATGAAGATATCTGCTTACTGCATTCTATTATATTACAGGTCATTATAATAAATGTAAGGTGAACATAAATTAGGTGTAAACAGAATTTTTTTATTTTTATTTAAATACATATTTTCTTACTTGGAGAACTTTAAGCCGAAAACTAAAATAGTTTCAAAATTGGCACTATCTGTTGACAACACTGGTGACTTTTCCTCTTTATGAGGCATATTTAAAGTTTGCCCTCTTTAATATTTAAGTTCGGCATGAACTTCAACTAGTTTTACGAATATCTCAGAGGACAATGGAAGGAGAAAACGTGCAGGCTGTGATCTCACTCGGCTGACAAAATCTACACACAATCATCACCTATGTAGGTCAGGGCAGTGGGCCGCATTGCCACGCGCCGATGCCTTCTTGTACAACCTTAATTTTCAATTGAAATATATTACATTCTCTATAGAACCATAGTTGGGTATATAATATTAAAACACATTTTCTTAAAGTTTTAAAATATTAATTTCTTATATGTCAGTTTGCTCTTTACAGCGTCTGCTTTCTCATGTTTCATCACATCGCCTCTTTGGTCGCTGACCTGCATTTTTGCTTAACCGGCACCACCTAATTTTTTCAATTTATTATGGCTGACTTTGTTTTTGTTCACTTGGAACGACAATCGGGCGCAATGGCCGCCGCGTCTTTGCTTTTTAAATTAGATTTCAAAAATAAAACGATTAAGCAGACGATACTTACTCTGTTTCAACAGGAAATTTATTGAGCTGTCTTGTTTAATTTTTTCTGTGAAATTTATGATTGTTTATTCTGCGTTTTTAAAATTCGGAACAATTTCCTTCTAATCTCTAGCACGAATATTTCGATGATTTGTAACTGAGTTTAAGGAGCATTTTTTGTTTAAAAAATTTGTTAACATGAGTAACATATTATGTATATTAATCAGACACTTGGTATCTGTTACAGTGAACTGTTTATTCTATATATAGCATGTGCGGAAAGGCAACCGGCACGGTCTTTATTCGATCTATGCTATTTGTGTAGCAATTGACATTTCTTAAATATTAAGATTATGACTGTGATAGTACACAGTAATATAATAAAATACGACAGGTGTTGTTAACATTAAAAAAAAATTGCGACCTCGAATACCACGCCAGTTGTTTTTCCGCACGTCTGTCTATCGCCCTTCTTAAGCAAGTTTTATTATCTTCTAATTAATCCTCTCACGAAAGTTTTAGGGATAAAGGTGGGTTACCTTGTGTGTGTCGTATGACGTAAAAATGCCACCGAAAGAGCTGGTTATTATATAATACAACGTACAATAAAATGTAGATTCACATAGTACCTACATATACAATTGTTTTAAAACAATAATAATATTAAGTGACGTCTATCACGTCGCTTTTATGGTAAAAACACGATGCAAATTAATTTTATTATTCATTTATATAATTAATGGGAAAACATAAAATTATAGAAATTTTTATTTTTTGCCATCTAGAAATTCTGTTCTGTAAAGTTTTTCAGAAATATATACAAATAAACGTACCTACCTAAACGTATCTAATGACTATGATTAGCAGGGCTATGATTGATTCAATAATTGTCTAGAATTGGCACTCTCTAACAAAGTACCAATACCAATAGTTTTTCAATATAGCTCTCTAAGGCCCTTCTCCCATTACGATACTTGTAGGGTACGATACTCGAGTAAAACTAGTTGGATACATGTTCGTAGCGACGCTCGCATATTATGCACTGAAAAATTACTAAATTCATCATTTGTGCAAACTTGTTTTTTGTAGACGGACGTTTGTCGAGCGACTCCAGTGACGAAGAAGCTCTTGCAGTTTTTCTGTTTTATAGAAAAAGTCGTCAACGCAAGAGTAGAGTATTTTCTACATTCGATCATCCATATATTGAAAGAAACATAAATTGTAGAGTTTTTGAGCCGCACAAGAACTACAACATGATGATAAGAAATTTTTATCTTTCTACCGAATGTCTTAAGAGACCTACTTGCATCTTGTTACATTATTAAAACCAGCTATACATCAACGAAATACTAAATTTAGAGAATGTGTCAGTGCGGAAGAAAGGATTCTGATAACCCTAAGGTAAATAATACTTCATTGTACATAGGTAATTAAATGTTTATTAAATTTTAATATGTAAGTACTTTATAATTATTACTTATTCTTCATCTTCCTGTGATAATACATAGGTATTGATTCATAATAGACTGGCAGTATTTGATTGTACTACATTCAGACTTTCGTTTATGGTAATTGGCGTACTTATTACCTCGGCAGCACTCATCGGTGAAGGAGTAGAATAAAGTGTGATGGGACTATTCATATTTTCACTACTTTGGTCCATTATCGTCTCATGCAAGCACTCTTCTCTTAAACAGTCTTCTTTGACTATCAGTATTTTGTTCACGTCCGATAGTAAACTCAGTAAGAACATTTTGTTTGAATTTTCAGTACTGTCAAGTTTTCTAGAATTTTAGATTGTTTAAATTTAAAATAATCTGAAATGTCTTGCTCGGCTTGAGTTTCTTCCAGCTTCTTCCGTTTTTTTTATTATTTGTTGATGGTGGTGTGGTGGTAATTGCTGTTGGAGATTGGTTGAGGTTGTAGGTACATTTTCTGTAATGTTTGTTCACATAGTTCAAGATCAGGTGTTGTGGTTCTAGTCTCTTTCAAATTTCCTGTGGTTTTCCTGCTGTTTTTATGAAGGGTACAGTAAATGAATGTCTGCTTAGTAGTTGGTTTTTGTTGCAGTACCTGCTCCACTTTTGGCCGGTTTCAAGTTGCGAACAAAAACACTACGAGATTTTTTCACTTTTCTTTAGCTTCTGATCCTGAAAATAACCTTTATATGTTTTTCAGATATTTGGGGTCAGGTTGTACGTTTGTAAGCCTAGGATGTATTTTTGCAAGAGGAGATAATACAATTGCAAGGTCATAGCTGAAATGACAGTTATAATATGAGATATTAAATGGAGACTATATGCCATTACCAGATGTGCAACATTGGAAAGACATTGTGCTCGTTTTGATCGCCTCTGGAATTTACCCAACTGCTTAGGGGCATGTGATGGTAAACACATCAGATAGAAAAATTACCTGATTCAGGATCAAGTAATTTTAATTACAAATCCTACCATTCGATAGTATTAATGGATGTTGTGATTCCGATGGATTATTTACTGTTATGAGACTGGTATGCGGGTAGGAACAGCGAGTGGAATTTTTCAGTGCTTCCAGGATCAAACGTTGGATAGAAATGGACGTCTTAATATTCCTTTACCTTCCAAACTTCCTAATGACCAATCTAACTATGAATTTCCATACTATTTTATTGGGGATGAGGCATTTCCCCTTCTATCTTACTTGATGAGACCATATCCCCAAAGAACCTTGAATGACTTGAGAAGGGTATTTAACTACAGACTAAGCCGAGGGAGGAATACAATTGAATGTGCTTTTGGGATGATGGCTGAAAAATTTCAAGTATTAAGTACTGTAAAGATGTCATACAATAGAAAAAGTATCAAATATAATAAAAGAGTGTGTATTTTACACAACTATGTTCGAAAACGTGAGGGTATTCTATATAGTCCAAGGAGTTTATACAAAACAGATCGTCACTATTCCCGTTACAACGACAATACAACCTCATAATATAGAAATAACGGCAAATATGTCACCACATAATCAACGAAATTATTTAGCAAACTACTTTATATCTGAGCAAGGTTCATTGCCTTGGCAATACCAATCCTGTTTGCAGAATACAATGTAACATTGATAATAATAAACTATGTATGTACAAAAAACCAACCTGTTATTTGAAATGTCCCAACCCAAGTTTGTTATTTTTTTTCGATGTATTCAGTAGTTTGTAGTTATATAAACAAGCATGTTTTTCAATTTCTTGTACAAACTTAATATTTGTTTCTTGCTCCGCCGCCACTTGACGAAACGCGCGAGACGCGACGCACAGCGACCAACACGGCGGTATCGCGAGACTAGTCGCGAACGCGTAGAATACCAGTATCGTGAGAGTGTCCATTATGTGAGATATTCGTGGCGACTAGTCTCCGAGACTAGAGTCGCGGGGTATCGTAATGGGAGAAGGGCCTAAGGCTGAGAGACGACGACGACACGACGACACGACGCGACGGGACGTAGCACCAACTATGACTCTCGTCCCGTATGTCAAAATACAATTCCTTTTTCACATACAGGAGTCAGACTTATAGTCAAATTAAATGAATGAATATTGATTTAAATTAAAAAAAAATTAAATAATGTTTATTATGGAATATTTATTTATTGCCCGTTCTTCTTTTCCGTTCTACGCCCTTGATTTTTTTACTACTTACCTTACCTTACCTTACCTACTGACCTTTTACTATTTACTATTATTACTGTGTGAACTATCAATATTCAATAGAAATATAATAGGAATCGGGATTGGAATCGCTGTAGAAGTTACGAGGTATTCCGAGGTACTCCAGATTTCTCGGCAAAAATCACTTTATTTTGTTAAATTTTCCTCTATACGTTGTTTACATTAATCGAATGTTCTAAGGTTATGAACCCTCAGGTACTTTAGCTGACATTGCTTTGACCGAATTTGTAAAAACAGTTAATTCATAATTGTTCGGTTGCGACGCAAACATTATTTATCGACACTACACGTGTTGGATTACGTGTTTTCACTCAAGGCAACGTAACGTAAACGATTTTATTATAAAAATCTATTATTTCACAATATTTTTGTGATATTATTCTTAGATATTGTTTACGACAATTGTAATTATAATATTGCTATACACAACTCACTATTCCTCGTCTCACAGTTCATTGCAGTATGCTTATACAATACAAACAAAAAATCTTAATATGTACTTAAATTGTATATTATGACTATTTTCGATTATCACACAATGATTTCGATTGAGTAAGCTCAAAAGAATTTTGAATATCTAGAATATAAATAAATTTTACTTTTATTCTCTTTCAATCTGACGGTATTTTTCTTTTTTTATTGTCGTTATTAAAATTATATTAAATGTATTAAATATATATTTAATATATTTTTCTACTTCTCTAAAGAAAATATTTATTATTAGTACAAAAAATATGTTATTATGACCTTCATTCATACTTATGTTTTACGGAAGTCTAGATAATGTATATGTTTAAAGCTAGTACAAATCCTTTAATTCGGAATTTACATTATATAGTGTATATAACATTATGTTTGGAATATTTTATTACCTGATCTACAAGAGAGTAAGAAATATATTCCTTGACAACTTGATTTATTATTGAAAATTTTTAACTATAAAACACACATTCAAATGTCATCGATACAAATAAAGTTACAATTTGATGTACCTATAGAATTTTAAAAAAAGTTATTGAATAATCTTAAATTCAAATGAAAAATATAAACGTCGATCCCTGAACGACATCAGACCTCATATGGAAGAGATTTTAATAAGGAAATAGTTTTAAAGGCAACCTCCGTAGTAGCGCAAATCACGGACTCCGGGAGAGCAGTAGCGGCAAGTGGCCTTGCGGCAGCATCATACGATATTTTCGCTCTAAGCGTTAATGCGGAAGACTATTTCAAGTCTCAGGGTCAGCCCGCCGCCCGTCACCCATCGACGCGGACGCCGCTATTCACTCACGTGCCCGTCTCAGGTTTCCAATGATGTAGCAACCCCTCAGAACAACCCCTAATATTTGTATACAGAAAATTTACATTTAATTTGGTACTTTACTATCTGTTACGGCACTTTAAGTTATAACCGATATTATTATGTCAACAAAAGCATTTCTAATTTTACATTTATATATGCTTTTTATTGTATGTATAATTTGGGAATTCACTAGTTAATTATCACATAATTAATATTTGTGTAGTTCCTTATACAATATCTCATACGTGAAATAACAATTGATAGCCAAGGTTTCTAATTTTCCTTGACTATAATCTCATACTGAAATCATATTTGTACCAAGTGTTACTTTTCAATCACATAGTAACCGTCATTGTTCAGAATAATGTAAAGGTAGTATTTGGCCTTAACCCGCTTGTGTGAAGGCAACCAATAGTCATGTAAATAGACGAGTCACAGGAAGCCAGGCCAATGCCAAAAACGTAGCACATCTTTAATTAAAGTTTGTCTAAAAGAAAAAAAAAACAATTACAGTTTGCAGTTATTTTAGTTATGTAAAATATGTACATATATAGAATTTCATGCTTAATTAGTTTCTTTCTTAAAAGTTCATCAAGTAAGTGGAAATATAAATCATGAAAAACTATTTTTAAAATTTAGAAAGTGCAGATTCAGTTTGAATCATAAAGACGGCATTTTTTCTACAATTTTAGAGATGAACGAATTCGTAAGCGCCCATCTGTTTCTCGACAGATAAAAGCTGCTGTACTCTTGATCCTTCGAAATCCGCATTTAGGAGATATTGATTCGTACTGTTTACCCAATCGCTTTGGCTCTGGAACCGTATATTACAGAAAGATCAGGCCTTAAACTCACATAAATACTGATTTCATTGTTGTTTGTTTGTTGTTTACTCTTGTTTAATAATGTATTTATATCCCGAACGTTTACTCCGTGCCCTTAAGTAAACCTCCACTTGGAAAGTACATTGTTCTACACTTGTCATTAGCTCGGGCCTTGAACTTTGAGAGCAAGGCGGTAAACATGTTTGCGCAGTAACCACTGCGCATCGACATTTCTATGACGTTCCTACATTGCCCTGTACCTACTAATACCATAAATTATTTCTACAACAGGGTTTATTCCATCGCTAGTCACACGTGACAGCTATAACTGCGCGGAAAATGGAAATAAAGCATGACAAATAAATATTATACTATTGTTTTCAAAATAATTTTGTAAATTAATTGAATGAATTGCAAGATTGGTGAATTCTTTATTGAGTATTTTACATTATTAATATATTAGAAACTTAATAATATATATAAATCCTATTAAATAATTAGAAATCAGACCTATACACGGAAACCAACAAATGTTTGACTATTTATTGTATTGTGCGAATATCGTGTATATACGATAGGGTTTAAATATAATTCGGTATATGCTCATGCATGTCATATACATAAATATTTATGTTACCCGAATTAAACGCGATATTTATAGAATATTATCCTTATTAATGGATCAAAATTATCAAAGAATGTTAATAATATTACTAACAATGACCGAGGAAAACCTTTTGCGTAGCGCATACTAGATACTAGGTTGTTCTATTGTGACGTTATCCACTATGGTGACCGAGACGTACAAGATAATGAGGACATCAAGGCCGACGCGTGCTAATTACAATTACCGTGGACATTCTTTGTTCCAGTAGTGATTAATGCCGGTCGCGAGTGGATATCTCAGTGAGATAACAGGAAGCGTCCGCGCTCTACGTCAGACAAGGTCGAGCCGTGTCCATGAAAACCCTTTTTATGCATTATATGTTGCAATTATCATTTATCATTACGTTGTTACCGTCTTTACTATGTATGAATATAACATGCTAGACCAACATGATTTGGAAAAATACAAATGTTATTTATTCATTATCTGTTTTAATTACCTTAATATGTATCTTTTAAAACATTTTAGACATTACATTTAAAGTTAAAATAAAAAAGGGACAATTCAGAGAGACTACTTTTATTAAGGGTCTGAAATCGCGATAACTCGAGAAAGATAGTTGGTAGGGAAAAAATATTGTCATGTTTTTCTAGACAATTTCAGGATCTACAAATATCCATTTTTCCCGTAACTCTGACCGATTCAGAGATATCCATAAAAAACTTGTGACCATTGACTTAAAAAATACAATTTGTAATGACATATCTAAATCTATCCAAACCTGTACCAAAATTGTTAGCTTGTTAGAAATTATAGAATAAATAATAGAATATAAAATAAATTAAAACTGAAATATCTATTTTGTCTGGAAGTAAGAGGATCAAGATGCGCTTAATCATTTTATGAGTTGTAGCGTTGTAACGTTTCATGTGTTCTACAATAAGCATCACTTATGATAATGTTTTTTAATTATATTAAAATTTAATGTTAATGGATTAAAATGTTAATATTCTTATACATGTGTGATACTCGCTTCAACTGTTTCAGTTCAATTTCAGTGAAAAAGTACCTTCCGTAAGTAAAATAATCCTATAAAACATAAATAATGAAATACCAGTGAGTTCGAATATCCTTGAATTTCACACACATGTGATATGTAATGGGTAAAAAACAATAAATCAGACGACAACGAACAGTTATAGTTTTTTTATATCGGGCCATAATATTTTTCTATGGAGGGAATTGTACTTTATTGTGCAAATAAAAGATTCTATATTAGATTGTATTTTCCCATCCTTATCGCAATAGCTCTAATCAGAAAGGACCTTGAGGCTGACCCTGAATGTATTTTTTATCCGGTTATTTTGCAAACGTACTTCATACTCGTGTTGATGTGTAGGTATTGATAATGTTAATACGATATTTGAAAATTGATTAAAAATTGATTGATTGTTTTCTGGTTAGGTAACGCGAAAATCAAGCGTTCGTTACGAAACAGGTCCCGTTAATTAGTACTTCAAAATATATTTATCTATTCAAATTCGTATAATCCTTCTCCTTTTGTAGAGTGTTAAGTTTTATTTACAATTAAATTTTATAAAATTGTCATTATTAAACGCGTTTTAATCAGTATGTAGTAGTAGTGATTTCTTAATGTGAACGAGATTTGGTGAAATCCTCATCACTTCTTGTTATTAATTTTAACGTTAAATAGTTTTTTTCTCAAACTACTTTTAATTCATCGACTAATAATTTATCATTAGCATTTTATTATAATGATAATATAATGTATAATATGATGTATAATATAATATCATAATTTTGCTATAAATGTCCTAGAATTTTTAGATGCGAAAATGCTATAAGTACGTAATTCCTGGTTTAAGAAACGAGGCCACGATGATCTAGGAAGTTAAGCGATATGACCCCGACCTTGCCAGTGCGAAAAATATTCGGCATCTCACGGCTACATGATCCCACTCTCCCACGCAACCTACTCTAATACCCCGTTTAGGGTTCCCTGCATCGAACAAACTGTTCTTTATTTCCATTGCCATTGTATAAAAAAGATTTGGACTTCCTTACACTACCTTTCATCTTTTATAGTTTGTACTATAGTGGTTATTAAAGTTTAAATTATAAGACTGATTATAGAATAATATCTATGTATTTTTAAATAAACTAAGTGGTTTTTATTAACTTCAGTTGCTTTAGAAGAATCTTACTATCTTTATACGTTATTAAAAATATGAGAAAATTATATAACTATTTTGAAGTTATACTTCTTTTGGCGCGTTAGGGAAAAATGGCGAGAGTAATTTTTTTCGATGCGCGCCCACACCGTCACAAAGAACCGACACCCTGAAGTTAGCTATAGTCAACATTTTAGATTTTTCTATTGTTAGTGTTGTTTTTTCTACAAACGTAGAATATTTTTTTTATCTTTTATCTATAACTTCTAACGCGTGTACATAAGTACACACATGTCTTATTTTTCTCGGCTAAAACTTGCATAAATCTATTATTACTCCTTAACGGACATGCCTTAGAATTGACTACTTGAATTGACTCATTAATTTAATAAAAAGGCACCAGCTGCCCACTGGAAACAATGACGACTAGTGGTGCAACTTTGCAAGCGTTATCCTTCTATAAAAAGTACGTATGATAATTAATAAGCATTCGATCAATTTCCTCGGAGAGCACAAAATAATTATCGTCGTACATGTTATGGAAACATAGAGTCGGACCGACATTGTTCTTGTTCAATTACGCAATTGTGTTTGGCAAACACTCGCGTACTTCATCATTGTTTTTCCTAGCTCTGTAAACAATTATGAAGGTCTCTTGTGAATGTCCAATATTACTAGGAAGAAGTAATAAGGCTAAGAGAATAGATTTAATGTGCCTAATGCCGCATTCTATTTTTCCCTTGTCGACTAGACTATATAATCTATCCTCTCAATTTTCAAGTCGCCGTACTTACGTAGTATATGACATCCTGTAACCTCAAATAGCAAAAGCGAGCAGGGCTTCAGTGAAGTCCTAATCAAGAAAGAGAAATTCTCCTAAAGATGTAGACAAATTATACTACTCGTAAGAAATTATTTATAAAATAGACAGGCTCGTTTATCTTATGAAGTTTAAAATATTTAGGTTATCAAAGTTAGGTCCAGTAAATTGAATACGTTCGTACCAGGAAATAATGTTGTACTCATGCCACAATTGATAAAGTATTCTCAATGTCACAATGATGGTTTTAGTAATTTCCGAGAGGCACGTACATAGTATGTCGATAAGATAACGATTTAATAATATATTTTATTACATATTAGTTTCAGTTTCAAAGAGATGCTCAGAGTTGTATAAAAACGGTTATGTCTATGGTACGCGCATATTTCTAGGCAATAAGGAGAAAATATTTTTACTTAAACAGCTAATTGCATGATCATCGCAATACAAAATACTTCTGGAGATTTCTGATAATGCCTGCTCAAATAAACATTTAAAGTAGCAGTACTGCATGTAAAATGTTATGAACACCATATTAAATATTGCAAAATTACCCTTTTATTCATAAA